AAGCAAATCGGCAAAAGCTAAAACTACATCATATCAAAATCATCGTCCGTGTGGTTTTATGATTAATGTAGTCAATGCTATAACCGGAAGTAGTGAGCCTTACTTATACAGAGGTCAGGATTGTATGGATAAATTTGTTGAGAAAATCAATAAAGTCAGAGAGGAAGTTTTGGAGAAAATGAAGGAGGACAAAGACCGTATTGAAACCGAGAAGGACTGGGAGGACTTCAATAATGCCACTAACTGCTTCATTTGTGGAAACAAATTTGAGGAAGGAGAAAAGAAGTGTTGGGACCATTGCCACTTTACGGGGCAGTATAGAGGATGCGCCCACGAGGACTGCAATCTACGATTTAGTATGAGATATTATAAAATCCCTGTGTTTCTTCATAATCTTAAAAACTACGATGCCCACTTAATCATCAACAAGGCTCACGAACTGAACAAGAATTCTAAAATAGAATGTATCGCTCAGAACAGCGAAAAGTTTATAACCTTTGGTTTTAAAAATCTTTGTTTCAAGGACAGTTTCAGTTTCTTATCGTCTTCGTTGGATAAGTTGGTGAAGTTGAGTAAATATGAGGATGATAAAAAGCGTGAGAATTGGAAGAACAATTTCAGATACAGCGTTAGAAACCCGTATGTTAAAACCGATGAAGATTTGGATTTATTGACTGATAAGGGTATTTATCCCTATGACTACTTTGATGATTTTGAAAGATTTAAGGAAAGGGCTTTACCACCGAAAGAAGCGTTTTACAGTAAATTGAGTGAAGAACATGTAAGTGATAAAGATTATGAAAGGGCACTGAAAGTATGGAAGCACTTCGGGATTAGAACACTCGGGCAGTATCACGACTTGTATTTAAGAACTGATGTTTTACTACTGACCGATGTATTTGAAAACTTTAGAGACTTGTGTATGGAATACTACGGTTTAGACCCCGCTCATTATTACACATTGCCAAATTTCGCATGGGACGCGATGCTTCTAAAAACTGGTGTTGAAATAGAACAATTGCATGACCAAGAAATGTTTGAGATGGTTGAAAAGGGAATGAGAGGTGGTATGTGTCAGGTAGTCATAAATTAGCGGTGGCAAATAATAAGTATATGGGGGAAGCATATGATGAGAACAAGCCATCAAATTATATTAGCTACTTGGATGCTAATAACTTGTATGGTTTAGCAATGTCCCAGAAATTACCGCTAAAAAATATCAAGTGGGCAAAGAAAACTCCCATTGTTGAAAAATGGAATGAAAACGATGAGTTCGGTTATATTATGGAAGTTGATTTGGAATATCCCGAAACATTGCACGACTTCCACTCTGACTATCCACTAGCGCCTGAAATAATGAATGTAAATGTTAGTATGCTTTCCGACTATCAAAAGCAAGTCTTCAAAATATATTATGATGGTAAAAGTCCCAAGGACGAGAAAACAAGTAAGTTAATATTAAATCTAAAGGATAAAGAAAAATATGTGGTTCATATTAAGACTTTACAGTATTATTTGAAAATGGGAATGAAAATGGGTAAAGTCCATAGGATAATCAAATTTCAACAGAGGGCTTGGTTGAAACCGTGGATTGACTTTAACACTGGTAAAAGGAAAGAAGCGAAAAGCGATTTTGAGAAAGACTTATTTAAATTAATGAATAATAGCATATACGGAAAAACCATGGAAGACAAGCGAAACCATATGGATTTTGAATTAGTTGATAATGAAGTTAGATATGAAAAATGTGTGAATAATCCAACATTCAAAAGTAGATTTATAGTAAATGAACATCTTGTAGGTGTGGAGAAGACTAAAGCGAAACTGAAACTGGACAAACCGATTTTCCTAGGAATGAGCATTTTAGATTTAAGCAAATTACATATGTATCAGTTTTATTATGATGTATTGAAAAAGAAGTATAATGAAAATATCAAATTGATATATACTGATACTGACAGTTATGTAATTCAAACAATGACTGATGATGTTTATAAGGACTTCAAAGAATTAAGTCAGTATATGGACTTTAGCGATTATCCAGTAGAACATCCATGCCACGATAAAACAAATAAGAAAAAACTCGGTTATTTCAAGGATGAATGCAACGGAAAAGTAATTACCAAATTCATAGCACTCAAACCCAAGTCATATGCTTTTACAATCCATGGCGAGGATGATGAACATAAAAAATCAAAAGGTGTAGTGAAACATAAGGTGAAGAAAGAACTGTCGTATCAAAACTATCACGAAGCATTATTTCAAAACAAAAAGCATGAAATAACATATAATTTTATTCGTAGTCGCAACCATCAATTATTTTCAATGTCTCAAGTCAAGCAATCACTCAGTAATTATGAAAATAAAAGGTTTTACATTGATGCTTTCAATTCACTGCCTTATGGACATTATAAACTGCGTTAAAGAAAAGATAACTAAGGTTATTAATGGATAGCAGTAAATATAAAAACGCAAAGATTTACAAAATAACAGATGTTGGGTATAATAAGTGCTACATCGGAAGCACCTGTGAAAGCTTGAGCCAAAGAATGGCAAGACATAGACAAAATTATAACAAGGCAGAACAATGGAATAATAAAACAAACTGTCGTTTGTTGTTTGATGAATATGGAATGGACAACTGTAAGATTGAATTATTAGAAGACTACCCATGTGAAAACAGAGAACAGTTAATGAAAAGAGAAGGTTATTACATTCAAAATAATGATTGTGTGAATAGATGTGTGGCAGGTAGAACAATTAATGAGTGGAAGGAAGACAATAAGGAACACTATCAAAATATGAGGAAGGAATACGCAGAAAACAACAAAGAACATATATGTAATAAAAGTAGGGAGCACTACCACCAAAACAAAGAAACAATATTGGAAAAACGAAAAGAACCTATTGAATGTGAATGTGGTGGTGTTTTCAGGAAATGTGATATAAGAAGACACGAGAGAACTGAAAAACATCAACGATATGTATGTGAAAATATTAATATCTAAATAGTTCTAATAATATATGCACTTATTAGAACTATTTAGTGGTACTTCTTCAGTTGGTAAAGTAGCAAAGTCGCTCGGTTATAATGTTATATCATTGGATTTGAAAAATGCTGATATTAATTGTGATATACTTGAATGGGACTACAAACAGTTTGACAGAAACCATTTCAATTTTATTTGGGCATCTCCTCCGTGCACCGAATACAGCAGAGCTAAAACAACTGGGGTTAGAAAAATAGATTACGCTAATAGTGTTGTTTTAAAAACGTTGGAAGTAACAAGGTATTTCAATTGTCAATACTGGATAATAGAGAACCTTCAAACTGGACTTTTGAAGGAACAACCCTTTATGAGTGGCTTGAAATACTATGATGTGGATTATTGCAAATATGGATTTAATTACAGGCTTTGGACTAACATAACATCATGGAAACCTAGACCGTTATGTAAAAAGGATTGTGGGAAGGTTAGGAATGGGAAACATTTAGAAACTGCTCAACGGTTGTCATCGGGAAAGAAATCAGATTGGGGTGAGGGATACATCAAACATAAACAAGATGAGATATACAAAATTCCTACTGATTTGATTAGTGATATATTTGTTAGTTTGTTTTAGGGTTGAAAATGCTTGCATCATCCAGCATCAGCATCGTCCAGCATCAAAGCATCAAGCCAGCAACCCGCATGATAGGAGAAGCGGTTTAGGCGACGCCTTCTGTAACGGTGGTTTAGACGATGACACGGAGAGCCTCAAATGACAAATCAATGTGTGTGGCGGGATTTTGCCACAGTCTGTGGCGGGATTTTGCCTCATTCTATGGCGGGATTTTGCCTCATTCTATGGCGGGATTTTGCCTCATTCTATGGCGGGATTTTGCCTCATTCTATGGCGGGATTTTGCCTCATTCTGTGGCGGGATTTTGCCTCATTCTATGGCGGGATTTTGCCTCATTCTGTGTCGGGATTTTACCATCAAAAGCCCTCCGTGAAGGACTTACACTATGAGCCATTGCAACTAAGACAAATCAATCAAATTATTATCCTGAACTGAAATTATAATCATAATATAAAAATAACATGTAAATCTTATATGTTATAATTATACTGAACTTTTAACCTATAAATGAAAATTAGTGAGAAAAACACTAACAAAACAAATGAACCACCAACACCCCAGAACTTGATAACTACTAAAAGGGCCAACTCTTTCAAATGAAAAAAATGTTTGCCCCCAGCCCAACAATGAACAAGGGGGGCAATTACCAAAATGATTACCTTAACGAAAACGATAAATAAGCTCCCCAAAAACCCTCTTTTAAAAACGAATAAGGTGGTTAATAGGTTTGAGATGAACATAAAAACCAGAACAGGCAACCATCAACAGGCTTCCCCCCAGGCCCCCTACTTTCTCCATTTTTTCCCCCCCCACCCAGCCCCCCTCTCCCCCTAGAACCATGTTATCTTGTAATCCGGGTAAAGAGCAGGCTGGGCTGAAACAGTTGAGCGGGTGTGCTTATCATGCCCCCCCCTAGAACTATGTCGCATGCGTGGACACAGAGCTGAGCGGGTGCACTTGGGCGGGTGTGCTTACCATACCCCACCCCCCCCCAGCCCCCCCCCCCCCAAGCAAGAGCTTGCTTTAAGAGCTGGATTTGTGTGGCAGGCGCAGCACTTTGAGCGGTAGGGGCGCGGTTGAGTAACTTTCCGGGGCGCGGTTGAGTTTGCGCGATTGTTGACATGCAGGGCGCGCATGAGTTACTCATACAGGGCGCAGCTGAGTACCTGCCCCTGTTGGGGAACTGATTTGGCCGGAGGGCTGTTGCTTGTGATGGGCCATGCCGTCATAATTCCTGCCTACAAGATGTTTGTGTTTGGTTTGCAATGAGTTCTGTGATTCTGCCGCCGCTTTGTGCATCGGTTTGAGCCGGTTTGGTTATATGTTCGTTCCACTTGTTTTGGACGGAAGTTGCGGTTGCGCCTGGAACCTGCTAGGTCGGAACAGACGTGCTGGGCATGAAGACAACTGCAACCCGGCAGGGCGACGAGTGCCCTTCCGTCCAGGGAGGGGAGGAGGTGGGGTTCGGCCTGGGCTGGTTTTTACTTTGCACGTGTCAAACATGCCATTTGTTCTTTGTCACCCCACACTCCGCGAAAGGGCATAAAAAAGGCCACTGCTTCATTTTGGTGTGCTAGGCGCGATTCTCCTCAATCAGCTTGCCAGGCCAGCTCCCGTTTTGAGATTGGAATGGTGGGGCGAGTGTACTTGTGTGAGTTTCATGTATGGTTCCCTTTACTGCTGGGGGCTTGGTAAATGAAGAAAGGGGGGAGGCTGCCCACCGCTCACGGCGACAGTTGAGATCCAGGTACATCATCAATGGCGCAAAGATGTGGATTACCAACGGAACCCCGGACGGGGCAGAGACAGGAGATGCTTATCTTGCAACAGCCTCAGCTCATCGAAGCACCGTCAGGATGTCGAAGCTCCACCTTCCACTTGCTTCGGTAGGTAAATTATTAGGGAAAAGGCCTTTTAAGGGAAACATACACCAGACAAAGGGGCATGTGTTTCACTGCTTGGGCATGTTGTGGTCTATGTCTTAGAAGCATCGTTTGCAGGACATCCCTTTGCAAATAGGGTTGCACAAATCTCTAGCTACAGAATCAGTGTCACGAATCGAATCATTCAACATCTGTTCAATGCCACCCCCACCCGCCCACCCCCACCCACCCGCACATTCTGTAGGCGAGCAATCGAGGTCTATGCCCGAACGGGCGAAACCAGCCGAGACGTGTCGCTGTTCCTGGTGGAGAAGGGGACGCCAGGGTTCAGCTTGGGCCAGAAGATCCAGGAAGGGGCGGGTTTTCCATTGGATTGAATTCTGCCTGCCTTTGATTTGCTCACTGATTCGAGGGAGCAACGGCTCCTTGAACCCTTGAATTCCAGTTTTCTCGTTACGCCGCCAAACAGGCGTTGCTGATGTATGATACCAGTGCTTCCTTGCTACGCGGGGGGGACAGAGGGCATGGGCGTGTCTTTGTGGAAACCTTTGTTGTCGTTTGTTTGCAGGAAGCCGCCAACAAGCCGATTTGAAGCCAGTCATTTGAGGATATCTTCGATGTTTGAGACAACCATATGCTGTCAGAACATGAATGGGACGGCAAACCCTCGACTGTACAGCAACAAGATTAACATGTCGCAGTTGCATCCCCGCTCTTTGGACGGGGTGCCACAAGGACTTGTTTTTGACTTGACAAGGCTTGAAAACCAAGATTATCCATTGTGTTCGTGCTTGATTGCTTCTGGCCTTTGGCCTCTGTTAGTGCTTGCCACATGCCTTCCTGCCATAAAGACAATCACGCCGAAGGCTTTTCGGGGGCTGCAGCCAAGTTTGAGGCATGACTTGGTAGCATCTTGGTTTGCCTTTCGCCCATAGCAATTTCAGATATGTTCTTGCTGACCATACTTTCTGTTTGCTCACAAGCTCTTCTTATGCTCATGAGGGTGATTCTTCAACCAAGCACCTCCCACTCCTCCTGGCGGGTCATTAAAGGAAGTGCATGTATGCCACCTATAGTTGGGATCCCTTCTAGATGCAATTCGTCCCCCAACTCGCCGCCCCCCTGTCCCTCCCAAACTCCCCCGCATCCCCTCCCCCCACCTCAGATGCCGCTGCCGCATCTCGAGGACAAGTGCGGGATGCGCGCGTCCATGACGGCGGAGCTAGTTTTCCAGGCAGAGAATGGCGCGGCGGTCGCGGTCCCTACTGTTTTCGTGGCCAGAGATTCATCCGTTGGTTTCGCTTGCTAACATCAGGTTGAGGGAATCACAGGGCTCGTGGCAGTTGGTTGTGTACTACCACTAAGAGTTTAGCCGTGGATATTCCTAGGAAGAGAAAAGCATGCACTGGGCCGAGTTTCGATTCCGGGCAACAAGGCAGGAAAGCAACTGCTCCAGGAGCCCACCGACCCCTTTTGGACGCAGGTGTCCTAACAGCAAGGGCTTTCAGAAACAACTCCCTTTTGAACTTAGCGGTGTTTATTTTGTGGGTGATCAACAAACCCAAGCAGAGTGTGGGTCAGCATGGAGCCCTGCGGGTCCGAGTGCCTTGTAAGAATGTACTTCTACTCTTTTTCGACCCCTCAAGTATATCCTTAGAAGGTTCTTGGACAAACTTTGGGGAGGGTGTTGTACCCCCTAAGATTCTTCCATCCTTGCTTGTACCAATGTCATTTATCTCTTTGATTGCATGGGTAGAACCCAAAGGTCATGTCAAGTATGTCACATGTCCTCAGGGTTTCCTGCGCAGTGTCACCTTCATGGCCATTGTCAAGTTGGTTTCGGTTTGCTGGCATGATGTTCGGAAGTTCGGAAAGGAACTATACGGAATCCTGAAGGTCACTTCTGGCTCAGCCTGTCAGCACTTTACTGCCAGCGCCATCTCCCATCTTCAAACTCAATTCCCGTGATGTCTTGCCAGGGTCCAACTAGAAGGTGATGTCCCTCTGTCCAACCTGAGATAGTTACAGCTGGTCCTGTTTTGGAGCTTGGGGCATTCTTCCAACAGAGTCTCCTAGCGGCCGCGGATCCGCTTAACGATGCGCAACCTGTCCGTGTCAAGTGCCCCATGCCACTGGAGCCGAAGCACCTGCCGTTTGCCGGGGCAGTTGTTTGTTGTCTCCAGCAAGTGACGGATTTTGGGATAAAGTGTCTGGAGCAAGCTACTTGGATCGATAATGTCAAGTGAACACAAGTGTCGCATTCATGACCGTGGCGTCAAATATTTCGGTTTGGTGCTGACTACAGGGTACACGGCTTATGGACGGCCCCTGGTGCTTCGCGTGTTTTTGGTGACCGCGAGGCCGAGGCTGCCTCGAATGAAATTGCGCATTAAGCCTGAAGCTCCACTGGTTTGCCACATTGACATGCATGCTTCGCAACTAGCCTGTAGACCTGCAGTCAACACATGATTTCTTGCCAAAATTCCGCGCAGAAAGATATTTCGACTTCTCACTTTCAGATTCGAGATACATTTTTCTTGATTTGTGCGCAGAGTCCGTGCAGGAACGTCTCAGCAGAGTGAAGATTGAGGAACATTCGCCAAGCCCACTGGACAACAAATGCAAGAAGCTCAGGGTTTTGCACGGAATGTGTTTGCGCTTTATCTTTGAGAATAGCCGAGGCATCCAATCCTTCATGGGAAGGGCCGACTCAGTGATCTGAGTGGGTGCTTGTGAGCGGGAGTGCTTCTCATTTGGCAGGCGGATACAATGCTCAGCACACGCGCTTGGGCGCGTGCGCTTGAGCGGGTGTGCTTATCACACCGCAGGCGTGGGTATCATTTGGCAGGCGTGGGTGCAGTGCCAAGCGTGTGCGCTTGAGCAGGCGTGCGTATTGTTTTGCAGTCAAGACGCCCAGAAAAAGCTACGAATTGGCACGAGACAGGCGAAAACGTGGCCAGAAAAAAAAAGGGCATGGTCCAACTACATGCAGAAATGAAATTAAGACCTCGGCTACGTGATTCACGAAGCCCAGGGTGGTGGAGCCAACGTCGTTCGGCGCGTATATTTGCCTTGTGTTGCTGGAAGCTGAGCCGGACCTGTCGCATGTTTTGCGTGTTGCCTTGCCGCATTTGCAAAACATGACGGCAAACTCCTGCCATCTCACGGTAGGCAGCGTGCAGAGACGGCATGCTATGTGATACGCGCATCGTATTGGTGTTGCGCGTGGGCGCGTTGACAGCTTCCCCCAGTCCAGGACTGTCGCGTTCCTGCTTCCCATTTGATCGGCGAGGAGGGTCAGCCTGCCATGTGTGAGCCTTTCGAGCCGGATTCCCTACCGAGCACTTCCTGTCCGCGGCACGAGGTTTGTTTGGCAGCGTGTGCATGTTTTGCTTCAAACTTGTTCAGTACCCCTTTTTTGTGATTCAGGAGGGTTGCCCATGAAGAAAAGAGCCCCCAACAAACCTCCCTGAGGAAAAAGACTGGGAGGGCAACATTCGAGGTGACGAGTGAGACGGGGACAGAAGGTCTGTTTTGTGCTTGTAGGGTGACCAACATGTTGGTCCAAGGGGCGTTGTTGATGTTGTCTTTGTCATTTGCCGGTGGGGAATTGGGAGGAGGCTTCCCCTAAGCGAGATCCCTACAGTGGAACTCGTACGTATGGACGATCATGCATCGACAGGAAAAGTTGGATGCAATTTGCAAGCATAGCATTTGTTACTATCTGGTCTGCTCAGGTGCTTGAGTTGTGTTGAGACATGTGCCACAGTCAGTCAAAAGACAAGTTTCTTCACTTGGGGTTGGTAGGGGCGGTCTTGAAAGGTATTTTAGACACTCATGGTCAGGATTCTTGTGTAGGAGGAGTTTGATCAAGGCTGACATCGCACGGGCACTTGCCAGGCAAGGCGACGCTGTGCATGATGAGAAACCTCGAAATCGAAAGAGCCAGCATCTGAGTCTGTTTTGGCAAGGGCGCAGCATGAATGTCTCGCATCGGCTTGAGTTGGTTCGCGCTTGTTGCGCCATCCCAAGGGGCTTATGGGATGGCTGGTGGGTGGAACACCAGGACGCTAACCTACGACATCTCTCCTGAATGTTGGCTGCGGCTCACGTGTTCATGTTGACCTGTTTTGTTCATAAGATGATGTCACCCAAAGGATAGTACCGCCCAAGGGCTGTGAATGTTAAGACAGGGAACCCGCAAACCTCATCAACCTCCATACCTTCATCAACCTCCATTCAATAAACAAACCTCCATAAACCTCCCAAAACCTCCAAGAACTTCCAAAAACCTCCAAACCGGACATCAATGATGTCCAATGCATCTGGCTCGAGCGCCACGCGCCTAAGGTGGTGCTGGCGGCGATGAGCCTGGGAATTGCTCGGCGCTGCATCGAGGAGATGAACAGGCAGATACGGACTGGAAGTTCAGCCTATAAGGGCCGGTTATGGGCAACTCTGAAGCCAACGTAGCCCAGCACACTTGCAATTGTTTGGCCTCTCTTTTTATGTTATCTCATCATGAGTTGATAGCCCACTTTCTAAGTGGGTTGCTTGAGCAGCGTCCTTGTAATATTCACCAGCTTGCGGCTTGCGCTCAGAAGGCAGCTGTTTGGACGGAATGGTTCGGCACCTTTGAGATGTTGAGCGTTTGCCGCATGACTGGGTGATAAATTTGGCACATAATGCGTGATGTCTCCGAAAGGAGGCCCAAAAGGCATGGGGCATTCTGTCCAGACTCCCTATTTGAGATAGCCCGTCAGAGCATCCTGGCATTCGCTATATTTGGTGTGTGTGTGTGTGCGTGCGTGCGTGGGTGTGTGTGTGTGTGTGCGCGTGTGTTTCGGGCTTCCAGGTCCCTTGTGGGGCTGGATGAAAAGGGAGCCAAAAGGAAAACAAGTCCCTTTTGGTTTGCCAGTCCCCCATGTTCACCTATTTGGCTGTGTGTCGCTTGGATGAGTATCATAGCACCTAAGCGACGTTTTGCGGATGGCCGTGGTGACTGGAGCCACTCTCACGTCAGGTATGCCCGAGACCGTCAGGCAGGATGGAATGCATCATGATTCATATTGAGGTTGGTTCAAGCCTTGTTCAAGCAAATGCTTTTGAGCGGGATCCTTCTATGACCCCCTTTTGAAAAGGACAGTCATGGGCCGGCACATGTTTTTGTTTTTTGAACCACCCGCACATGGGGCAGCATGGTCGAAGCACACTTTGCTTGAGGCTACTGGGACTGGGCACGGGAGCCCCCAAAAGCAGGGGCTTGTAAGCAACTTGCGAGGGAAGCATCATAAGGTTTCCTTGCGACGGAGCCCTGATCTTTGCCCACAGAAGGGGGTTGATCCTGGCACAGGTACTTGTTAAAAGACACGGTGAGGGAGGCCCTTGCTGGGGTTGCCAAGCCTTCAGGCGTCGCATGGCGTCAATGGATCTGGGCCATGCGGTTTCGTCGAAGGCTGTAAGGACACGAAGAAGTGGAAGCCACCCACAAAGCAAAGGTTGCAGCCAGCCATTGTCACACATTCCTGTGCCGTTGAGAAATATCCGCATTTGTTGGGTCCCTTTCCCCCTGAAGTTCTGCCAAGAGCCCGGTTCCTTTCAGGGCTCTTGCCCAGGCCTTCGGGTCCCGTCTGAACAGCTTCGGGCAGATCCAGCGCTTCATCGCTGAGTCCTACGCGGAGTACCAGGTGCGTGAAACAAAAGCAACCAGAGCCCCAAGCCCCAAGGCATTGGGGCACGCGTTTTGGTTCGGTTTAAAGCATACATCGGGTATTCGTAGAGCACAAAGCAAAGCATTCCGAATACTTGTTGGCCTTTGGTCATGGCCCATGGCACCGGATTCAGGGATGGGAAGCTCGCATTGAAGCCACAGGGCGGTGTCACCTAGGAAACCCCGTATTACTCAGCCAGAGGTTTATCAATCTGGGGTTAACATTACCAATTTAATTCACGGTGAGCTGAAAGATGAGACAACGCGAGTCAGTCCAAAAACATGGCACATCGATGATCATGTTAGACAACGTCTCTTGCAGTCTGCGAACTTTTGTGATCGGGACATCAAGCGAGCCTTCTTTGACTCTGAAAGAGTCCTCCTGAGCACGATATCATGTTTCAGACAGGCAACATCCCTTTATTGTCAATCATCCCCTAGATTTTGCAGTCGTGATCATTCATGTTACTGTTACCTGACCCCTTTAACGATCCAACTGAGTGGAAGAACCAGCCAACTTTCACCAACAACTGAAAGGAAGCAAGTACTTTCAGTACGCAATCAGGGCTAACTGAAAAGGGGATGTCGACAAACCAACCTACACCCATCCACGCGTCCGCCCACACACACAGACACCGTTGGCATTCTCAGTCCCCGCTTATTTGTTTGCCCAAGTGTGTTTTCTGTTCGGGTGTGTTGGTATTGGGCCAATCTGGTGACACAAGTATTCCCTATCAGGTTTGCGCCCCAAAAGCCTTGGCAATGTTGCGCCCAGAAATCCATTGTCGGCATAGATGCCCTTCTTAGCTCAGTTCAAAGCACATGTCCCTGGTTTTAGTTTGGCTCATGTTTCATGTACCGGTGGAATCCAACCAATTGGATTCCCTCTAAATTGGCATGGAAACCCATGGGAACGCCCCTCGGGCTCGGTTTTGTCAAGGCGGGCCGCAGCTACGTGTACAACGTGGCGCGGCACCTGCAGCTCGACTCTGCAGGCTGGACGAGATCGGATCCAATTCCATTGGGACACGTTTTGGAAAAACGTTTAACGTTTCTTGTTGTTTTCAACAGGAAACACATGTGTATATGTGTGCAATACCTCTGTAATTGATTGTACATGCTTGGTGTTGCCTTGGCCAGAAAGCTTTTGGCTGGCTTTGAGGTACTGTGTTTTGGTTTGCTTTGAAGTGTTGTGTTTGTTTGAGTGAGTGAATCGGCACTGAAATGTGCGAGCTGGTTTCCAAGATAGAGGGTGGGTGCGCGCGATTTCCACATGGCTTCAAGGGCTAGATAGAACGAGAGCCGCAGTCAGAGAGCCACAGAAGGGCAGTGGACGGGGACCAGGCGAAGGTGGAAGGAATTTGGTTCGGGGTGTCGGGGTCTTGGAGGTTGCCGAAGGCTCAGGCGCTGACCACTTCACACACGTGTACATTGCAGACTTGCTTTCTTCTGCCGCCCCGGCAGAAGGAAGGCGCATTGCGAAAAGGAAGCCCATCTCCCCCGCACCGCCCTTCGTCTTAAGCGTAGGAGGGGTGATGATTGCGTGAGGTGCGACATGGAGCGGGGATTGCCTGCATTTCCGCGTTCCCCGTTCTACGCAGAACCTTGTCCACTTGTTGAAATCGTTGAAATCACGCCTTGAAACAAGAACACAGACTAGCCCTCATGACAAGCTTGCTGAATGGGGTTGACGGGCGTGGTTGGGGGAAGTTACAAATACACGCTTTGCTGCAGGTTTCATGTTTTTGAGGTGGAACCAGAGAAGACAATCAAAAGCGCCCCTGGCAAGCGCAACGATGTTTGCACTCGTGGAGTCTGAGGGCGGTGCCAAGTTCATTGGTAGATGTGTCGTAAGAGTACTTGCAAACGTGCACAAGCGGTTTTGTGCTTTCTGTGAGTGCTTCCACACCATGCAATGTTCAGACAATGCCATGCAGGACGTGCGAAACTGACATAAATCCAAATGCCACCCAGGGCATTCGAAACTCACATAAAGAACCCAAAGATCCCAAAGATCATGACACTTTGTTTGAAGGGGTAGGGGTATCAAGGATAAACGGAGCTGTGAAAGTATTGGCTCTGTCCTCACCGTTGACTCCTTGTCTGTGTGTTTGCGAGAAAGCTCGAGCCCGCTCAAGTCTATCAAGTATGCACTTTCAGCCATTCAACAGGGATAGTTTCCCTCCAAGCTTCCCTGGCGGGCACATTCGCTTTGCTGCAGTGACTTCCGGAACAGCTCGATAAAAACTGATTCACAGTGTGCTATTGTTGTTGCGTGCTGCGGGATTAACGGGTAGTCTCGCTCAACACATTTCGAGCGCATGGCTCAACAGGCTGCTGGCCCCCTCCCCACGGTGAGTGCCCGTTTGCAGGCAACGGGTTGGACGCTGACGGGGTAAAGCTGTACTGCGGCCAGATGGGCAAGAATGTGGCCGATCGAGCCATCCAGGCGATTGTCCAAGTTGCTGCGTTTGTGCCTTTGGTTCCTCCCTGCCATGTACTTAGATGGACCCGATCTTGTCCAAGTGGCAAACAAGAAATAGCTCGCGCCCAGTTCAGGCCGGTTACAAACCATTTAGGTACCTCCCAAACTATCCAAGTAGGGGGAAGTAGGCAGCATTCACGGATGACAGGTGGCAAGTGCTTGACGCTTTGGAATGGAACTGCTGTCAACCTTGCAGCCCAGGAAGCAACGAAACCAGGGTTGGCGACAGGCCACCTATCAGACAGGTGTCCTGGCAACTTTGACATGGATTGAGGATTTTTTTTTTTTTTTCGCAATGCTGCAGGCGTTCCTCTGTTTTGCGTGGTGGAAACAGCCGCAGTCTAAATACTGCAGGCCTGTGACAGCCTTTGTCGGCATATTCTAAAGGATCCATTCTGGCTGCCCTTGGCAACGTTGAACGACGCCCTTTGAACAGGGGGCATTCGGATATCAATATGATATTGCGAGGTTGACAAGAGCAGCCCAAAAAAAAATGTGCGGATAGGAAGATGGTTGGACAGTACTGTAAGAATCGTGGCTGATTGCAATTGTAACGAGGGGACTGCCTGGGACTTCATCGAAGCTTGCCTTTGGGGTCTTGGCAGTTGCAAGCAATTCGTGAGTTTGGCTCCTTGTTCCAGATCTTGCTTGCCAGAGCAGGCATCGTCTGGCTTTCTTGGCTGTTGAAGATCTCATAAACTTACACCAAGCGATTGAACGTTGATTCAACTCCCAAGTTGAAAGGAAGTAATTAAATACTCCCTCGAGCCGGCCATTCATTTCGGCGTGTTTTCTTCCGCTTGCAGCGATTTCCGAAGGTCATGGGTGGCTACGGCTACGTGGGGGAGTACAATGTGGAGCGGCTTTGGCCCTTCGCCGAGACTGAATTGGGTGGATTGTTTTGTGGTTTCAACAACGCCAAAGGAAAACTGCCAATCTGTGAGTTCCATATCTTGTGTTGAAACAGACCCAGCATGTCAGCAGCATCCAATGTTCCCCAAAAGATGGCACCAAGGCGCGATGCCAAGCTGCTGGAGATCGGGGGCGGCACGAACGAGGTGGGAGGAATGGACGCTGCCCTTTTGTCAAATTTGGGTAGTGAAGCAAATGGTGAGTTTTCAAAGGCATGGCCTTGTTTGGGACCAGACCAACAACAGTGCTCCTAATTTGGCCAAGCCTCCAAACTGAGGCTCACTACGAGTCTCAGCTTACTCCAGCCACAGTGATCCTTGAGTTTGCTTCCTGGCTTGCTTGCGGCACCCAAGTACGCCAGGCGCACCACAAGAACATCGTGCGGGACCTCTCACGCCAGGCACGGTGCGCCGGTCGGAAGCGGGTTGGAGCTACGGCCACTTTGCATGGGAACGAACTGAGGCTCTTGGTTTAGCGTAGATTTCCTGCATGCAAGTTCAGGCATTCACGACGCTCCGGGGTTGTTTGATATGTGCTTCTTGTGCGTGTTGATAGCTGTTGGCCTCGTGGGCAGCGCTTTCTTCAGGTTGTATGTGCAGATCTGGAATGATCTGGATCCCTTAACGAGAACACTCCAGAAATAATGAAACCTATAGGGGCATTGCTTTATACCTGCCTGCGAGCTGCGGAGTGGGCAGCACGGGCTGTGCAAGATGTACTCTCTTTCAAACATCCATGCAGGTGCAGAGAAGGATTTTTCAAAAGGAAAGTACCCTTCTAAGACTCCTGTCAGATTTTACGGTTCTTGGAGTTGGACATAGTTCGTCGTGGTGTTGAGCTTGCTTGGTGCGGTCATAGCCTTCAGCGGCTTCAAAGGCTAGAGCTCTAGCGCGCGGGCGATTTGCTTTCGGTAGGCTCAAGTGCATTGGACAGCCAGGAAAAATGACAAAATAGGAGCAATATGCTGGCAGCATGCTTGCTATGCATGTCACACCCATGTAGAACTAGGAGCGCTGGTCAGGAATTTGGATGGGGAACTGCTGCGCATCAGGGATGGCTTTTTGAACAGCGTTTCACGATGTGCTTTCTATGATAGAACTCCAGCCTGCAGCTGAGAGTTGGGTTGAAGTCTTCAACTGCCATGCCACAGACTTCCATTCAAATTCAGCCCTACCTCCCCTCCTTGACAAATCCAACACAATATGGACCATATTGACTGAGTAAAACCATCCTTCGAGAAGCGGCGCTTCACCCTATGGATGGAGGCGGGTCGGGTCGCTGTGGGCTACTGCGTGCAGCTGAGTCGCCAAGTTCAGTGAGGGGGATGGTGAAAGTAACCGCACAACGGGCAATATTACCAGAGTATTTATGGGTTTCTGGTGGCCTTCCATTGGCAGGTGTTGGTCTGTCAGGTGTTCAGGAATGTGTCAATCAGTCCTGCATCGTGCCAACCTTTGAGGCTTCATGCGGCCCCCAATTCAAGGAACCGGTGACCATGCCGGTTTTTGCTTGTGTATGGGCAATCGTCAGCCATTTGTGGGGGCCAGGATCAACTTCTTCAATGCCACGCTAGATCGATCATTGCCGTCTCTCCAACCATGTTTCTTCCTTCCTTTGAGTGGAGTCCTACGAAAACCAACCAAGGGTCCCTGTTGTCCCCACGACCGCAAGAGGAACTCCTTCGCGTTGGGGATATGTTCATCACAGTTTCCACGGCCAAACCGAGGCGAATCAATGCAGAAGGTGGGGTTGCCCGACAAGTCTAAAGGGCAACAGGGCCCCCCCGTTTCTGCTTTAAAGTGCCCCAACTGGTGGTTTCGACTTGTTTTGCCAGGGAGTCACAGCCAGGCGAGTCCGCTGACGAACTGCGGGTATCTGCTCTCCGTTTGGGCGGCCTTCGGCTTTCTGCATGGCGGGCACTGGTGCGTGCTCACCTGCCTCACTGAGGTGGGTCGAATTGGCGCCTGGCGAGTCAGGGAACCATCTATGATGCTTCCCCATGCAACCCTACAGAATGGAAGGGAGAGGAAGCTCCCCCTCGGATTGAAACTGGAGTATTGCCAGAAGGCAGTTTGACAGCTATCCTGCCATGTACCAACGCATGCAATGGATTTACATGTAGTTGAGTCAGAGCATCCCCGCGGCCACTCCATAAGTTTGCCTTGCTTGGGCTTGGCCACCATCCGAATCCACTAACGGTGTCCATTTCAACTGCAAGCGAGTCTTCTCATGGACCTCTGAGAATGTACTTCTTCATTGCTTTGCGCCTCCAGCTGTCCATGGCCAATATTCCTTGATCACTCTTAGTGTTTGAAGGCCTTTTTTGAGGTTGGGGCAAACAGGTTTAGTTACCTGGACCACCCTAGCCAAAAGGATGCCTTTTATACAAGGGGTGGTGTTTCACTTAAACATGTTTGAACAATGGTGGGCCCACCCGCCTAGATCGCGAAAGGACAAAGCGATGCAGAAAGTCGCCCGTGCTCACGCGATGTCCTATGCCGCGGGCATTGTGGTCACTGCGCTAGGCCTCCCATGGTGGCAAGAGTTGCCCCCCCAAGTTCAGGCCCGCGCATGGGCAACCTACCTTTGGAGCTTGTGGATCCGTTCTTGTCCAGCAAACCACCAACAAACCCAGGAGGAAAATGGTCGGCGATTGAAAAGAGAGAGGGTTGAAACAATTGTAAATGGAAATAACCCGTAGACCAGAGATTAAGGCTGTTGGGACTGGTTGTGCTTCCCTTGACAATATGCTGCCGTGTTTGATTTGGAGGATGAAACATATGCGCAGCGATATGGATGAAGAAAATCCACTCCGCACCAGTTGGGATAGAGAACGCCATATGATTAGGAAAACCCAAAACTCCCAACTGGTGCCTGCGGAGGGATTTTTCCCATCCACATGTGCTCCACACTTTCAGACAGCGACTTCGCACCTTTTCGATGAATCTCTCTGCGGACTTGTGACCTGGAGTACTGTGGAAGAAACCAACGCCCAAAACGAAAGCAATCGAGGCAGTCTGAAACAAGACACTCACAATCAACAAATACCAGGGCAGTGTGTTTTGTTTGGGGATTTGATGTTTCACGAATTTGAACTTTCAAGTTGGGGGATTGTGCTGAGGCAGAATCGACGCTTTAGCTTTAAAAGCCGAAGCGCCTGGACTAGGGACTTTTTTAAAACCACCCTCCTTTTCTGCGGTTGCTGAGACAAGAAGCCCAAGAGGAACCGGCTTCCCCAAGTTTTTGCGGGTGCAGACCCAGATTGGCTCAGGAAACCCAGATGCCAGGCACCACTGGTGGAAGCTGCAGAATTAGACGTTGGCCACCCTTTACCCTCCCACAACCGTAGAACCTGAGCGGAGACCTCTCAAAGTGACATGGTGGGTACCATGTTAGGAACGTAGACGTGGCGGCCTTGCCGGCCCAGTTTGATATGTAGTTTTGAAAGCGACACCTTTCGGGCCGACCATGAGCACCTTGGCAAGAAGCGATCAAAGAGCTGTTTATTTGCTTTATTATTGATTCACCCGAGCATAAACTATCAATCACAGCTGGGCGGAATAAAGTCAATGTGCTGCTGGGTGTCTTCTTGTTTGTTGTCCCGCATTCCTCTTGAAAGGTTCAACCACCCGATTTGTCAACCCCAAAAAGGCATCGTCAAAGGGTCTGGGGGATAGTTTGGAGCATCCGGACTCCGGGCGTGCAGGCGGCGGCTATTGCCAGAGCGGCACAGCTAAGCGTTGCCCAGGTGGCGAGGACATGAGCCAGGAGTTCGGGCGGTTGGCCGAGGGTCAGCTCACGGCAAAATGACCGAAGGAACCATTAGTATGTTTGGGGGGTGTGACACCATCGTGAGTCTATGGTTGGTTCCTGGGAGAACATTTTCTGGCCCTACCAGGGGTCTACCAATTGTTCCTGCCTTCTTGGGGAAACAAGCAGCTTTGTCCGGGTTCAGCTGACTGGATGTTTGCACACTGTTGATTCTGGTTGCATGCAACAAACACCCCCAAACTTGGGATAGGCAGGACAATGACTGCGTGAAGGGTTCACTGGAACCCAAGGATTCTCCAAAAGCTCTTCTTTCTGAATGGGTGTGGTTCCGGTGGCAGAGAAGTTCTTAAGGGAGTAACATTTGCTGATCAGGCACACCCGAAAGTGGGAAGAAGGATGTTCCTGGACGTTGGAAGGAGGCCGCAACTAAGATCAGAAGTACATGCGGCCATCGCTTCCGCCGATGCTTTGGCTGAATGTTAAGAGCAGGTTGGGCAAATGAGCAGCGATCTACAACCTGTGAAGCACATCAGTTTTGGGTGCCAACATGGGACAACGAGAAGGGATGGTTCAGGGCGCGGAAGCTCCCCCACAGCATGTGGCATATGTGTGTTGCTTTGGATTTGCATGAACGACGTAACACGAATGTTTTTGTGATCGGCTGCGTGCCTATTGCCATTGAAGTAGTTTTTGGACACGCCGAACAAGAACCACACCTTGTATGCGCAGGAGCAGCGGGGCAAACACACATGTGCGGAAGCAAAGTCCTGTGCCACGGACTCTTCGGAAGCCCCTAGTTGTTTGGTCAGCGCTCAAATGTTGTTCAACCAAAAGGAGGATGCTTCAACTATGGGTGTCTCAGCTGCAGGAGTGCCTCTGGCAAGAGCAGGATTTGGCCTATCAGATCATCTATGTGCTCCACTACATTGGCCTGGCCTGGAGCTTCACCCACTGGGTCATGGATGGAGCTCAACTCTGGTCAGACGCCCAGCGCGGGGGGGGGGGGGTGTGGGGGGGGGGGGGCAAGAAGTTGGCTGGAACAGCCAGACCCTGGCTAGGTCACGTAATCTCAAGGGGAACAATTACGTGCCTGCGGGGGCGTGCCCCAACCATCGATGAATCGACCCATCATTCTCCCTACACTTGGGTACCAAGCGATAATATGACATATCCAACTTGTTTGATTCGAGGCCTTGTCGCGCATGTTTGCTCGTATTCGGACATGACATGACTTGGTGCGCGGAACTCGAGCCATGCCTTTGGTTGAACTCGGAATGGTCGCCAGGTCCTGGGGGCGTCAGAGCGCCCTTGGCCAGCCTTTGAGGCCCGGAACGGGCGGAGGGAGGTGTCCAAGTGGCTTTGGGTTTACATTGAAACAGTTGCTTGAGACAGAAAGGAAACCGGCAGAACCCGCTATTGGGGGCGTTCCCTTCATTAAGACTCAAACGCAGCAATGATCACGAAGCAAATGTCCCCTTTTTAGGCCGTATTTGGCTGGATTGGCAAATTGGGCGCCGTGTCCGCATGCCTTGACACCACTCAGAAGTGTCTCACGTCCAGAAAAACGTAGGACACGCCTCGTTGTTTTCTTCCTGCCCAACAAAAGATGGACACCCCACTTGAACTTGGTACCTAGTTGCAAGGAATCAATGGGCAACGATCCATTTGTTGGGATTCCAAAAGGACTCACTCTGTTTAATGGTAGCACAGACCCAAATAGAAGGTGAGCCAACCACCAAATTTGTTTGCGCCTGAAAAGGAACAAGTGACTCCTTGATACGGAATTAGCTTCTTCCAAGCTCCAATTGTGGGCTTTTTCGCGAAACTGCAGTTGTTAATTTGAAGGTGTTTTTGCGGGAAGCACTTCATTTGGATGGTTTTTAGCAGCCAAAAAAAGGACACCGACCACTTTGAGGCCCCTACATTGGAGACACATTGTGCTAAAGTGCCATTTGTGAATCAGGAGCATACCATGAGGTTGTTGGTCCATTTGTGCACGAGCTTCAAGTGGTGACTCATCCATCCACCACCAGAAATGGTATTGTATGCAGGGGTTTAGCATTTTGCACTGACCATTTTTGCCCAAGTTGTTTGGGTTGCTCAAAATCAAATCTTTCTCCTTATGCCAAGTAGCGGTGGTTTCGGTGCCCGGCTACCGATGACGAATCGGGGGGATCCCTTAATTTGGAACAAATGTTGCTCAAAGCCGGATTTAGCTCCCTCGGCCGCTGAGGTGAGGATCTACCGTAGCAATGAGGTTGTTTGCCAAGCAGGTCCAAGTGAGCAGGGCAGGCCGCAGGGCCAACTAGCGGTCCTAGCGGTTGGAGCCCCCCCCCCCCCGAAGAGCTGGAGTTGCACAGGCTCCGGCTGCTCGAATTAGGGCCGAATATGGGTCAACGTTTGCGACCGTTTTATATATTTACATATCTTTGCTCTTTGCTAAAATGATGAAAACGCAAACACGTAAACATCCTAGTTTTGGGGTCGAACGTTGACCAAACGGTGGCCAACCACAGGATTGTCGCGTCCGACGTCCGGCTCTCGCACTTCCGGTATTCTGGCATCCTGTGGTTCGCCGTGCTGCTGGTGTCGCTGACTTGGATGTCACGCGGCAAAAGGAACCCCTGTGTGGATGGTTCTCAAACCAACAAAGACAGATCTCCCCAAAAAGAAGTTTCCTTTTCAGCAAACTCCGTGAACACCACCCACATCTGTCGTTTGCGAGAGCGTGCGGCAGGTTTCTAGTGACAGGTTGATGGAAATAAATTGTCCATGGAACATCTCAAGTACTGTCACCCCAACGACAGGAGCCATGTGCTGAACGTGCTTTACGAAGACGTGGGTACAAAACAAGGCGACCCAAAGCGTTTCTGCTGATCACAACCAGTCATTCAACGTGGAACCTGGGACTGACACGCAAAGGGGAAGCCATCAACAAGTGGGTTTCTCGCTTTGCAGTTGGGCACACTTCAAACCTCTGATGGTGTTGGGATCCATCGATATGTTTCGAGGCGCTGCGGGCTTAATTCAATCATGTGACCCAAATGAAAGATCGAGTTTGTCTCCGAAGGCGTCAGTGCTGAACATGTCGATCCCAGGTTCTTCATGCCGTGGTCTGCCGGCGGCAGCAGTGGCACTTTGGGCAGCCTGGCCGGGGTACTCTTGTTGGCCTCTCGGCGCAACAATTCTGCTGGCGACTTGCCAAGGCGCGTTGCAATGCCATAGCCGTGATTGATCTGGCTGTTGTTTGTTTCTTCATACTTCCGCTGTTTCCACCGGAGCAACTGACAAAATCACTGTACTATTTTGTAGCACTTATTATGGTCTGAGACCGTCCGGGGATAGTGCTGTTCTGACAGACTCTGGCATGGCATGATGGACCACACTGGACCGGACCTGCAGCAAATTTTCGGCATGACCACGGTCACCTTGCGATGGCAGTACATGGTTTGCGCGAACACGGGGTTGTGCATTGTGGGCAAGTCCCCTAGCTGGCTGGCAACTATGACGTCTAGGAGTTTGTCAACGTCACAAAACTTGACAACCCCGCCACGCTGGTGCTTCCGCAACACTTCAGGATACGGGGAGATGCTCGCTACGGTTTGTCTTTGTGGCAATTTTAGGCGCAATGCGATTGACGACGCAGGGCCGCATTCGGGACATTTGCGCAGGTGAGTGTTACGTTGTGAGGATGGGAGCGTGATTTACAGGAATGTCCTCATGACACAGAATGGTATGAACATGTCTGTGGCTTCCAAATGCATCTCCTCCCGTTTTCCCCCCAGGGTCCAAAGGCAGGAGGGGTGGCCCTTACAACAGTAGCCCTCAAAGGGTACCGAGAAACCCGCCTGGACTAAGGAGATGCTGCTGGTTCAGATTGTGGCATGCCCGGGGCCTGACTGACTCAACCGGTGGGGTTGGGACTGGAAAAGCGATTGGAACGCCAAAAGGGGGTTTCAAAGGGAGTGTTTTTCAAAGGTCCAAGAACTTTAGCCTTTGCAGATCAGTGTGGTACATGGATGGCACTGGTCTTAGTTTGGCTCTAGTCATTTGCAGGCGCCATCGGTCTATTCCCCTAGGCATATACAGCGTTGTGGTGTGTTGTTCTTGACGTCTGACTCATTTGCACAAGGCGTTTCGTTTTCCAAGCATTTGTTTTTAAAGGGACACCAAGAAGAAACCACCCACCCCCTCTTCTAGTTCCTAGTGTGAGACTATCTCAATCAGAAGTGTCACAACAGTTACATGGGAGACCTCTTGAGCTATCAAGGCCAAAGGGTTAGTAAGGGGTTTGTGGTGCCCGGGCCGAGGTGGTGCTCTTTGCCTGCATTCGCGGCTTCGAGGTGCCAGGAAGGCTGTAGAAGGGCAACTCGGCATGACAGCTGATTGTGTTGCTGGCTTTGCGCGTATGGGGACACTTTCAGGGCATCGCGTTGTCTATGTGACGTGGTCTGTGTTGCAACATTGCTTCTTGGGTGTGTTACTGTAGTTGATTTAAGATAACCAGTCCTGCATTATCATTCCATAACCAATCCTAAACCCTTTTATAGCCTTTGCACTGTGAGGCTGATATCATACTCATGCTCGCCCCCATGCAAAAGACGATGGCTCTTGCGGTGACGGACTGCATTGTTTGGAGTAAAAATTGGCACCCGCAGCTATCCAATGTGCACCTTCAACAATCCAGCAGAAGGTGTTGATTTATTCGATATCGACAGCGTACGATACGCGACCTACTGTACCCAGCTAAGTGTCATGAGAATGAGTTGCACTCCCAGACACCATCTGATCTGAGTCGTGCCGCCAAGTCCTCTTGCCGAGGCAGGGTAGCGACACCGAAGCGGCACGAGTTCGGGGTGGCAATGCTGCGTGCGTCTCTCCAAGAGAGAAGCAGTGTGGCGCGTAGTTTCGTTGCATTTTTCGCTGGATGTGCCTCGGATTCTGGCAGCCCAATGAGGTCACTAGTCATTTAACTATTTTTCACTACCGCTACATGACGCAACATGAGGTGGATTTGAGTGACGTTGTACTTGCTGAAAAATGTACCTTCCACCACAGCGTTGTTGGGCTTGTTGACGTGTCCAGTACAGCATGGTTAAGCTATGCTCTGGCGGAGCCTCACAGGGCCACCAGCACATTCGCCCAGGTTATTTGCTTTGGTGGACCAGCGTTGTGTGAGTGGTGAAATATTGAGCCGTTGTACAACGGGAGAACGGAGACGCCACTTCTTTGTCTGGACTGGCAAGCACGGTCGTTTTCTGTTCACCCTGCTATCCACAGGCCCAGAGAGGTCTTGTCACTTGCTGTGTTGGCGGTAGGACCAAGTCCTTGAGAAAAAGGCGGAACCAGGAATTGCAAAGATGCGCCACTGTGACAAGTGGGCGGGATGAATTGGGGCAGAAACATGATAGCTCGGGGTGAGGATGCTTCATTTACTGACTGTTCTTTTATGTGGCCACGCGCCCAGGCAGGTGTCCATTCTTTAGGTTTTTGTAGCTATCCTAAGATCGAGCAATTTAGGTGCATCCCGCTCTGAGTAGGCTGTAAAGACCCGGGAGCTTCTGAGTTCGGAAGGGGTAGAAACCTCAAGCTGCCTGGTGGCATTCTTGTCTAAGCTAAGAGATGAAGCGAGCTCACCCAGATGACGGAATAGTTAGTTGTGATGTCATATGCAACTGGCCACGCGGTGAATAGCTGTTCGCAGGTGGAGAAGTTGCCCTGATCGGTGTGGGCCCCGGATCTCCCTTTGCTGCCGAAGTCGCTGTGCGCAGCCTCACGCGAGTGCTCATCTTTGGGCTGACATGGGCGAGTGGAAACCCAGATTCATGGCTCGAGGGGATGTGGCGAAAGATGTGAGGCCGAGACGGGCTCGATTGTTTGTAACAAGAGTGCATTTTCAGCAAAGCTGCCATAGCACACAAGGAGAGAGCCACTTTGTTCCAACGGTTTGCGATGGCAATTATGTTGAATTCAGTTTGTTGTCCCTTCGCAGGAGCCACTTGTGTCCTCTGTGCCGTGGCCAGCAGCGCCAGGAATCACAGTGAAAGACATAGGCAAAACCGCTCTAGGTTCCCTGTTGCACCACTGCTTTGGGAAGCAGCAGTTGCCTGTGTTGGTTGGATGATGGTTAACGAGTGAACCCTGCGTGTTGCATGTCGCACAATTGCGGTTTGCTGGTGTGTGTGTGTCCCCATTATGATGATGATGATGATGATGATGATGATGATGATGATGATGATGATGATGATGCTGATGATGATGATGATGTTGATGATGATGATGATGATGATGATGATGATGATGATGATGATGATGATGCGAGAATCCAAACTTTCAGCGCGCACACACACACACACACATACACCCAAGCAGACCCTTGCCTAGCGTTGCTCAAGCTGCGTAGAATCTTGGTAGGCTTGTATGTTTGTACATTGTAGCTTGCATACTTTTGACGAGGACTGTAGGGTCAATCAAAAGCTGTGTGCATGTGTTTGTGTGTGTGTGTGTGTGTGTGTGTGCGTGTAGGTATGTGAGTATTTGTTTATTTCATGACTTTCAAAGAGACTCAGCATGTCAATGTAAAACTGCAGCCGGAACTGTCCAGTTCAGATACGTTAGGTTGGCACTTCGCTTCCATTTCCGCATCCCCACTCCTTAACGTATGGAAGAGCGGGGTGTAGACCTTGCCCCATCTTGGCGGCTCCCAGGTACATGTTCCAATATGTGTTCCTTTATTCCTTGTACATGGGGGTGGGCGCTATGTTTTTTCCTGCTGGGGGTGGAAGATATTTTCCTCACGCTTGCCTAGGCCTGGTGCTGATCAAGTTGCCAGGCTCACAAAAGCGTTGCTGGCAAAGACACATGTTGGCCGTGAATAGAGTCGTGTCAACTACCTTCTAATCCATGGGATCAGAATATGTCAACAGCAAACGGTTTCGACAACATGTGTCAGCGACTTTTGGCCCTTGTTGGACGCCCTACCGCTTTTAAAAGGCGGACATTTCATGGGCTCACGGTGCCTAGGGACAGGTTGTCCTCATCACGGTATGAGGCAGTTTCACAGCCGATGGCCTTGCAAGACCGAATGCTAGTTTGCTTTGTTTGTTGGATGCTTGTCCGCTGATGGCTTTCTCATTGTTTCAACGATTAGCTGATAAAATCCTTTGACGTGGTCTTTCTGAGTCGTGCTCTTATTGCAGCGTTGACACCAGCATTGTTGGTGCGGTGTCAACTTTCAAGACGTTGACCGCCGAGACGCCTTCAGCATCCAAAAAGGCCAGGGGTGGAGGGGGACAATCAAACTAGGTCCATCGCGGACTTATCTTGATGACCATGCTAATCTGCCAATCCAAAGAAGCCTCAAAGGGGAACCGCGTCTGAACAGTACTGACAAGATCCTTTAGGTTTACTTAGTCGACGCTGACGGTACGATGGAATCTCCGATACAGATGATTTGCTTTTGGGCGGCTCTGATCCTAGCATTGTTGCATTGTTTTTTGCAGCCCTGCTACTGACATCAGATCCATTTGCTGATTGCTAGTGTGGTTCTATCCAGAGTTGGCTTTGAAGGGAGGGCCTGGGGATGGCAGTTGCTATCTAGCAGTAGGTGCCCTAAATATTGAGAATTTGCCAATACAGGAACATGGTGTTCCCAATTGAATTCGCAGACACTAGTTTACAACAATCTACCACGAGCGACAGCCGAGCTATTTGACCAGTTCAACTGCCTACAGCCCCCCTATCATTTTACCTGGCTTGAAGCTTTGGTAATCACAGTCCATGTATGCATAGCTACGCATGTGGCCCCTATGACGCTATTTTGAACAGTGTGCACGCAGACACACAGATGCAAACACACAGACATACAAACACAAACAGAAGCACGCAGACACCTATGTTTGTCAACCATTGGCGGGCTGGGTCTACGAAGTGCTGCACGTCTGATCACAGCCACGTTGACGTCCGAGAAAAGTGCGCCGACGAGATCGCAATCTTCACAGCCCTATGCTTTCACAAGCAGTGGCCAAGCATACGACCATTTATTTGCCGGACACACGTAAATACAAACATGCACACAGTCTTGCACTTGGCATGCACAAAGACCGTGAGTGAAGATCAAATGGAGGTTTCTTTAGAAGATTCCTGACCATTCGTCAGGGTTTCATTATCGTTCTAGCAAGCAGGTCCTAACCTGCATCCCTTCACGATCACACGCACGTGTAGTACCATTTGATGGAACCTTTGCAATCACCCAACTTCACAATGCCTTGCTTAGTTTTTTCTTTGTTGAGGTTGGGCGTAAGTGGGGTGGGATCCCCACTAGCCAAGGGCACCGAATGGTCTCGTTCCGTGCCCGCCATGGAACTGTGACTAGCGAGCCCGGCGCTTGGAGCGGGTGGTGAACGAGGTCTCTTCACACGAGTAAAATGTTGAGTTGTTCAAAATCAATCCTAAATCCTGGTGCCAGAAGGTCATGGTTTCCGTTGTTGTAGTGGTGCACCACCGGGATGCCCCATTTTGAGCGACCCTGAAAACGATTTTGAGTTCCGGTGCCCTATGTCAAAGCAAATCGACCCAAACTGCTCGTGTGGGTTTCCAGGTTTGATTCATGGGTCGCACCAAGGTGATCATGTTGCGGTAAGTGGTGACTTTGTCATCCTTTTTAGCATTGTGCCCCATGAAAAAACAACCCTCGATTTTGTTTCAGGTCCCTCTGTTTTGTGTGAATGCGCCCCCTTTTCGCGGGATGCACTACGTACTTCAATGTTTGCGGCCCAACGTCCGGTGCGTGTGGAAATTGAGAAGTCTTCCCATTGTCCTTTTGTGAGATTTTGTCAACTAATTATAATCAATTTGACAGTAGCATTGCATGGAGCCCCATTCACAAATTCAAATTGCTACCCGGCTTCGATGAGTCTATAGGCACAATGATTGTGTGATATTATGTTTGTGTCTCATTTCTGACAATGCCCCCCTCATTTTAGTGAGCTGCACGCAAGGCATCAACTTGAAGTCATCCCGGAACTTTATTTCGACACACCACGTTGGCATCAGCCAAGGCTGAGTTTCTTTGGCCGTTGCCTGGATGTTGGATGCCACCAACACACACACACACACACTTGCCCAAGGACAGGTTCCTAAGAACAGAACCTGCGGTTGTCCAAGTCCTTATGAGCACCTCATCATCACATGTCAGACAAAGAAGGGTGTTATTGCTGAACATCATGAGCCTCGGTTGAATGTTGCTTACGTTACAATTTGCGCTGGAAAAGGTTTGGTGCTCAAAATTGTGTTAAGAATGGTCCACAGAACCAGCGTGTTAGGGCATTTCAGGGCATATGATATAAATGGTACATGTGTGTATATTATATTCATGATTGGTATGTGTGTCTCGGTTGCTCTCATATTGCATGTTATGTGGTATGTTATCTTCTATACCGAATATGGGTGTTTCTCATCATAGGGTCTCCTCTAGGTTGCTGATTTTCTTTTCCCTGCCAAACCATCCAACAAGGGGCTCACCTCGTTGAAGCCATCAGCTCTCCGTGGCCTTCCCATTGGCCAAGGTCGTAATGGGCGCAACAGTTCTCCCCGCCACGCTTGGCGACTGCTTCCGTGGGCGAGTTCCCTCAGAGAAACACCGACCAGAAGGGGTTCCGCAACATATTATCACCATGTTTGATACTGGTTGGTTGTTGGAATCCGACATATCGGCGTGAAGCTGTTGGAGCCAACCAGAAGGAGCTTGACATGGATGACAAAAGCGTTTGTAGACTTGCAGTTTCTGCGATACCAAGCGAGGCCCCTCAAAGTGACAAAGCACAGTCTTACAGATGGCCTGTTTTGGTATCACAGTAATCGACATTGGCCACAATCGTGAGAAAAGTGGGGTCATCCTTACTCATGTTCTCAAAATGCAGACGCTATCATAATTCTACCACGAACCAGAAAGCAGGATGTTTCGGCTCTGATTTGCTCCCAGTTTGCTCTAAACGGTGAGAGGGCGTGTTCAAGCCTGCTCCTGGCAGGCTTCGATTCATCTCAGATCAGACTTAGGAATTGCTCCTTACCGATCAGTCAGACTTGAGAGGCAAGTAAAGGGAGTTGATTTGGCCAATGATAGCAACCAGCTTATCTTCTGTTGGGCAGTTGTTAGTGCCAATCCTTGCAGACGGTCACGTAGTAGTTCAAGTATGTGTCGCACGGTACCTCTCCGAAGCTGCGGCCTTTGGCCCAATCTGTTCCCGTACGTACTGACACGGCCATGGAGTTGCTTCAACCTGTTTGCGTGAAGAGTGGTTTTCCCATGTTCCTATCAATGTTCCGACACCTCCCAATGCCACAAGTTCACTGTAGACATTGACCGAGGGCTCACTTTTCCAAAGCAAATTGACCATGTTTTTACCTTTCGCTTCCCCCTTGAGTCACGGCCCCCATTTGGACTTCGTCGATGCTTTTGCCAGCTTTTTTTTTGTCGAGCCAACGCAGAGGCGCACGAGCCCATCTCTTGTATGATGCGACAGTGCTGCGATGCTCAGTGGGTGAGTTGATCTGGCGCATGTTCACCCCAGACTAGCAAGTTTAATACCAGCCCGAAAAGTCAGTAGGGAGGTGCATCTATCAATCAAACAGGCAGTTTATCAATTCTGGGCCAACATTCGTGGATTGTAGGGGTGTTTCCAGGATCTGCTGTAAACTTGGACGGACACCCCTTATTCACAATGAGTTATTGATCCTGGCGTGGGTTCCCATTTCTTACCTTTGCGTCAGATTGGATGAACAATTCCTCTCTTGAGGCTGCGAAATCTTGAGTGGCCAGACCAAACTGCTACCCACAAATCAACGGGGGACCACCTTTTTTTCCGTATCCTGCTGGGAAACGTGCCATTCTGTCTGTGTCTTACGCTACGCTTGTCTTCCGCCCCTTCGATCAGCTTCGTGACAGCCGTCACCAAGGCCTGCCGGAGGACACGTCCAACTCAGGGTCCAGGCGCGTGGCTTCAAAGGCCATCGCTTGGTCAGGGCCAAGGTTCGCCATACCTCCCACACAGCGGGAACCTGATGGAACGAGTGTGCTTTAAACAACAAGTTGCTGTGATTAGATATGATCTTCTACCTCTGCCGTTGCTATTGGCAAAACACATAGACTCCTTGATGTTGCACAATGTGTATACGAGTGCAACATGTGGTGTTTGGTTGATTGAAAGTGGGTGGGTGTGGGGGCGGATTACAGCATTTCACCATTGCCTGCGCGAACTGATATCAAAGCCGCCGAGAAGCGGCGTCCAGTCGAGGAAGAGGGAGAGAGAGAGAGGGAGAGAATAAGCTGGGTTATTCAACATGAACCCTTAATCCTGCTGATGGGCGGCAGTTGTTTCCTAGTTGTATTGGTGGCCCTATAGGTACCGGATTACGATTAGGGAACCGGTTAGTTTCTGTCACCGACAATCAACCGAATCAACCCGACTTTAGCAAGCCCAAACAAGACCAAGCCAAACAAGCCACACACACACACTGACCATGAGTCCAACCCACACCAGCCAGCCGCAAGCCCAAGCTGATCCAACCTTTGTAATCCACTGGGCCAGCCCGGCCACGGGCAACGCCCCTGAGCCCGCCCCCAGCCATGGCATGACGCTCATGGCGTAACGTCCACGGCCGCCTTGGGAGGTGGGCAAGGCCGTGTCCGCGCAGCGCGTGTGCCAGCTTTGCACTGTACCTACATGTTTGCTGCATGGAGGTTGTACCTTGGGCCGTATATGTTTGAATCCCCTCAGCGCATGTTGTAAGTTTGCTGTCTGCAGCAGCAATGAGCATGCAGCTTTAAAGTATCCCATTGTTCACTGACAATCGGCATGGCATGAACACCTCGCTTTGTTGTTGGTTATGCCAACAGGCTTGAACTTCTGCCCTCAAACGCAGATTCTGCTTTATTGCCTTCCGAAAAGCCACGCCTATGACTTATGAGGTTCCGTTCAGGGTGAAGCATCGAAGCTGTAGTATTTAAGATTGTGCTCTGTAGTGTTTAAAAATCACTTGCGTGTGTGTATGTGTGTGTGTGTGTCTGATGTTCAAGAAGTTGTTAAGCACTCCGATTCTCGTCTGCAGTGTCCTTGACCACTTTCATGTCCTCATGTTATATATGGCCCCGTGTTGCCACCCCCCCCGGCCCCCCAGAAGGTATGGGGGCCCCCTGACCCTGGAAAGGCTGGGGGGTGTCATCGGACGGATTCATGGACGATGTGGAAGTAGACAAGAACCACATCCACAGGGTGGCGGGGGGGTGCTGGTTCCACCCATGACAGGTAAACAAGTGGCGGGGGCTGGCAACGCTGTAACATGTATATATAGATGTATTTGCTTTTCTCAGACTTGAGGGTGCAGCAGGGTGGTCCTTCGGTCCTTCGGTCGCGCAGGCAATGCACCTCGTGGCGCGGGCGCGGCAGGCGGCGGCGGTCGCCGCCTCCGCCGCCTCCGCGGCGGCCTCGGCGGCCGCGCGCAGCGCGCCAGCGGAGTCGCCGCGACTTGGCGCGCAATGCGGTCAAACACAATACGACGGGTCGAGTTGTTTCTGTTTGAGGCCCTGGTCGAGTGTTTTTGTTTTTTCTCTAGCGGGTCGTCGTTTTTGCCTTGGAGCCCGATTTTGCTTGTGGCTCAGTTAGGGGTATAATTAGGCGGGTTAGTGTTTCCAATCACCAGAAGAGATACAGCTGACACAGGGGAAACTGAAGAGGCAGCACAGTGCAAAGTGTCCTGCTCTTATCAAATATATCCATGCTTGTTTGAGAAAAGTTTGAACACCTTGGTGTGAGTGTCCATGAGAAAGAGACACACCAATAATAACTCAATAATCTTTGTCAGGAGAATGAACGGAGTGAATGGAAAGGACTGGAATTATAGACAAATTATATTATTATCATTTACTTGTCATTCATTAACTTCTTCTTTACTGTTTGTCGTTACATCTCCAGAGCATTGTTTTTGTTTTTTTTTTTTTTTTTAATATATTTTATTTTATCTTCATATCCCATTATTTTATTTATTTATCATCCATCTCTTGCTTTCCATCTTAACTTTATGTGTCTTGTCCATGAGATTTCTACAGTATGAAATGGTGAATAGACAGGTTATCTGTGTTCAACTGTAAATGGGATGATAATGGATCTCCCGCGACACAATGAACCTTTCTTTACCCCATCTTTCCCTTTTTATTTTTACTTTTTACCTCATGCATTTCAGCGTTCCCTCGGTAGCTGTAGTAACTAGGAAATTGGTAATAATCTCCATATCTTTTTATTTACTGTAAATAAGATATCTCTGTTCCTCATCTTTCCTCTGGATTCTTAATGTTGGGAAAAGATAGGTTATGAATAGAGAGAAAGGAACATGTTGATGAAGATATGACACAAGAATCCGAAAGAAGTGAGGCATGAGATTAAAGCCTTTCTACTTCATTCCTTTAGTCTATTCTCTCACCGACGGTTCCAGGAATGAATAGAGGAATGAAGGAGATAGAGAGAGATGAGTGGCAATGGATGAGGCGAGAGACGGAAGGAACGAGAGGAGGGAATGGGAAGGAGCTAGGCCAGATCTCTCTATCCATAATTCCTTGTCACCTCCGTTCAAACTCATGTTCATTCACCTCTATTCGCCTCCTACCTCAGATTGAGTGAGGAGTAGGGAGTTAGAAGGAAGGAATGAGAAAGTAATGAATGTTAGGGAGTGAGAGGGAACAGGAAATAAAGAGAAAAGGCATTTGTCTCCTATCATCTTTCATTGTCTCCTTCCCACCCACTCACTACCCTTGAACTGTTCCTTATCCTTTCCTTGTCACTCAACACTCTAGAACTCTGGGAACCTATGTGAAACGGAGGGAGTGAACAGGAGTGAAGAGAAGGGATATTAATTCCTAGAGTGATGACGTGGACAAGGAACGGCAAATAAGATAATAAATAAATAGTAAAATACTATGAAGAAATACTAGATAATAATAATTAAGCATATGAAAGAAAAAGGACAAGATATAATATTTGTGTTTCCACGTTCATTCCACAGAGTCCTTCCGGCTTCCAGGAGACAGGGCTAACAACAGAGTTGTTAGAGTGAGAACAGATATGAAAGAATATATTCGTAATCCTTTATCTTCCTTTCTCACCACTTCATTCTAACTCTCGAGAGTTCCAGGAATGAATAGAGACAAAAGGAATAACCAAGAGATGTAAAGAGATGGAACAAGAGCTTGGCAAAGAGATGTTGAATGGTTATCTCCTAATCCTCATGACCAAAGGGAAAGAGACGAACGGAGAGAGATTAGTGAGGGATAGAGTGTAATCAAGGGAAATAGATAGAGATGGGAAATAGAATGCTATTCCTTCCATCGCTTACCTCTGGAATATTCTTGTGTTTACTCTCTCATATCACTCCACTCTATTCTCCTGATCCCTTGGCTTCCAGCATTTTATAGCTCCTGCAACTCTAGGAATCTCCTGCACTGGAAGGTAAGGGATGGAGAATTAACCCCATTATTTTCCCTATCCCTTTCTCTTTCTTTATCCTGCTCTTCGTCTATCCAAGGTGAGCAGGAAGAAAGAGAGGGAAAAGAGAAAGTAAATGAAAGAGAGAATATTTCAACCTCTATTCACTCTGTACCACCTTGAGTTGGGGAAATAGTGGGAGATAATTCATGTCCCATCTCTAGTTACTTCTTTCCTGAGACTTCTTCAGATGGAACCGTCCGTGAGTTAATCCGCTCTCTCTTCGCTCGTTTTACTCTCTCTACCTCAGTCCCTTCGGTTACACGCTCCATTTGTCACTTGGTCATGTCTGTGAAGCGAGTGTAGGGGAAAGATGGATGTCATGGAATTATTTCTCCTTCGTCAAGACCTTGTAATTAAGGGATCTCGTTCATAATATCTTTGTCACCTGGAAATTCCTCTATCATTATCAACTTCTAGTTCCTGAGATATAGAGATGCCGGGCAAAGAGGCGGGAGATATAGAGAGTGATAATAATGGAAAGGCGTGGCAAGAATGTAATATTTTTCCTCTCGCTCTCACCGCTGGCATCATATAATCTCCTTAACATCCAGAAGTTGGGACGTGTCTGAGGTAGAAAGAAGAGGAAACAAGGATAATAACTAAAAGGAAAATAGATATATTTGTATTCAATCATTTTTCATTAGTTGTCTCTTTCCCTTCCTTTCCTTTTTCCCTCCCTCACTACCCTCGGTCATTGGAGAGTTGACGAGATAACATGAGAAGTGAGTGAGGGAAAGGAACGGGAAAGGAATTATAGATGTAACCGTTACACCGGACGTGTCTTGAGTTACCTTCCTTCTTTTTCATTCACTGGTTACCTCGTTCATGGACGAAGGAAGTGAATGGAATGAACGGTTGGTAAAGAAAGTAAAGAGATGTAAAAAGAGAAGAGGAAGATAAATGCTGTCCCTGTATTCCTTGTAAGCTTTGTGTGAGCCTTCCCTGTAATCATAATGTTGGGATATTACTTAATCATAATGTTTTTTTTTTTTTACTTCTTCAATGTAATGTGTGAATGAATCTCCCGAACGAAGAGAGGAATAGGAATTCCCGGAAATTAAGGGAAGGAAGAGACCAAAAGAGAATGAACACAATGATCTATCCCAAGATGAAAGGAAACAATAATGCCTTGGGATTTCCATCTCTTTACCTTTCCAAGATGAGCGGGACCTAGGGAACAAAAGGCAAATAAAAGTATGAAAAGTTAATGAACATTACAGATTACTTCCCTTCTCTTCACCCGGCATTATTAATAGAGAAGAGAAGAAGAAGAAGAAGAAGAACAGGATAGAGAGAAAAGACCACCCAAGAAGCTGATAAGGGAAGGCTGGATATCTTTTCAACCTCTATCCGTCTCGCCATGGCGAGGCAACTCTCTGTCCTTTACCTTTTCTATCTTCATCTTGTTCTTCCTCATCCAGAAGTAGGTTAGGAACTCATAGAGAAGAGATAGGGGAAGGAGGAAATGCATGAGGTAAAAAGAAACATAATGCAATGGATAGTTAACTCACGGTGGAGTGACAGAGATTATTTCCTCCGTCCGTTGACTCGCTTCCTTCATTGCCTGTTGATACCTTCCCTTCCGTGTCAACGCTTCCTTACACATCTATTCATCTCTCGGTCACTTCTTCCTTAATTACAGTTCTTCCCTTCGTACCGCTTCACGGGTAATCCCATTCACTATCTTATTCCCAGCCTTTACAGATTACTTCTGGATGAGTTTCCACCGCTGGTAAGCAAGGCATGATAAAGATAGTAAATACAAATGAATTCCAATGCATCTCTTCACCAATGATGGACCGCGGACGGAGAACATCCTTCATTGGCGGTTAATCCTCTACTCTTCACTCACAGGTTGGTGAAGGAAGTGTCCGGAAGACAGAGATTAGGACACACAACCTCTTTCCTGTCCCTTTCTCTTTCATGTTGTTCCTTTCTTCCTTCTTCCATCTCCTGGAACTCCAGGCACTCACCTGTCTCCTTCCTTTCTGACCTCAGAGTTTCTACCGTGAGGAAGGTGAGATAAAGGACCTCTAACTCTAGAAAGAGGCCGTGTCATAACTTTCCATCTTAACTCATGGCCAATACCACGTTTTTCAGGGAGATGCTGACATCATACCCTAAACAAGTGGGTATTTGAGTCATTTGAGAAAGGGGTAAGGGAAGAGCAACGGAAAGCGATGGGGGCAGGTGGTCTGATCCTTGAAGCGTTTGAAATGTGTTTTTGTGTTTTGAAGCTGCTGCATTCTCCGCACAGCGATATGGCATCCTTTTGACGTGCATCGCCTTGCTCTGAACATAGTTAGACTGTTAGACCGAGTTAACCAGTTTTTGCATTGGAGTAAACATTAATATCTTGGTCATCTGCTCCGAATCTTCAGAAAGTTGAATCAGGCGATATTCGATTTCTTGCCGCTCCACTGAATTTGGTCTAGCGGATGGCCATCAAATGTCATGAACTTCCTAGGGTTCCGATCGAGGGAGCCACAGATTCGCATGTTTGACCATGGTTTCAGTGAGGCTGGAGCAAGCACTGCGCCGCGTGACACATACAGACTGCGCGGCTATCCCTGCGGAGGCTCGCTGGCCAAAGGGTGGGGGCAGTCCCCTGTGGCTGTCCAATGGCCCCGACAACCGCCCCACTTGTTCTCGGCAATCTACTTTATTTTCGTGCTTTCCCTTTGAACTCCCACCAAAAGGGGTTCCCGTAGTACAAGCGATCTCTTCCTGCCGCGCTCTTAACTTCTCCCTGAAACCTGTAGGTTGCCTTTTGTGCAAACACCGCTTTGGCAGCTCCGGAGCCCTGACCCGTCGAAAGAGTCAGACAAGCATGTCTTCTTTTTTGAAGGATGGTTGTCGAGTGAGCAAATCTCATGGAACCCTCCCACAGTTCGATCCTGGAAATTGGAGCATTCGCTCAGTATCGCTTGGCTGATTCCTGTTCAGCGTAATGCCAGGTAAGCAGTACTGAATCCTGCAAGCGCGTTGCTTGGCTGAGCCTCACTTGTTTCCAGTTGGTTCGAATTGTCAAGATGTTCTTGAGTGTTTGCAAGGGTCGTTTGACTGAATCCAGGTAACCCATGGTTTCAACTGAATTGATTCGTGTCATTAGGGCAAATTTACGGCCCTCGCCCTTGAATCCCGGTAGTCTTTGGTCTTGCCGGGAATCCAAACTCAGGTTGCCCTGAATGCCTTGCCACAACCCTGTTTGAGATTACTCTAGCAGTATCTTACAGTTAGGTGAAAGTAGATGGTACGATGCCCGATTTGTTCTCGCCATCCCCTTTTATTATTTGCCCACACAAGGCTAAGCGAGTTGTGCCGTCTGCTGTCATCCTGAAGTCTGAGTTCCCACCCTATTCCAGGTTACCCTTGCTGAGTTTACACAACCCGATTCCCGATGGTTTACAGTAAATACAGGCCAACTCTTGGCAGTTTTCCCTTAGGTTTCCCTTGAACAAGCAAAAGGAGGATCCCCAAGCGTATGAAACCTGTCCTCATTGGGTCACTGCAAGCCCTGCCCCATTTCCGGAAGGACCTGCGCGTGGCAGTGTCCATGGTCAGCAGCGAGGAGGCTTTGGCGCATACACTGCGCCACATCCAGGCGACACGTGGAAGGGTCCCACATTTGGTGGTGCTTTTAGGGTACCATTCTTGGGGTTGGCTTGATGGGAAACCAGAAGGAACACCCACCATTTTAGCATTCCCCCTATTTTGACCGAAACCGAAACCCATTCTTGTCCGGCTGGTGAAACACGCCAAAACTGGCGAATCTCAAAACGATGTTCAGACCGCCTGTTTGTCGGTATTTAAATGGATCACAATGAACCCACACGTGCAAGTGCGCTCAAGTGTGGCAGCTTGAGCATTTATTATCCTTCAGGCCAACTTGATGATGAGTTTTCCTTCAAGGTGTCCATGTTCGCCACGTAAGCGTAAGAAATGTTGCGATCTCCAAGCAATCAAGGAGGCATGCTGCACATTCGAAGGAGGGCTTCTTGACAAGGCTCGTTGTAACATTCAGATATTTCCCTCGTGGACGCGTGGATCTGATCGCTTTTCAACGCGGACCTTCCCAAAAAACATGGAACCCATACAAACCATAGAAACCGTGGAAGCTATAAACACTATGACACACATGGAAACCATACGTACAAATCACGGAAAACATCGGCGTTGTTTCCCTTATTTGTACGTACAGTGTCCATGGTTTTCATGTGTTTCATTGTTTTCATTATTTTATGGTTTCTATGGTTTCTATAGTTTCTATGGTTTCCATGTTTTCCATGGTGTCCATGGTTTCCCTCGCCACTTGCGAGCCAAAGTGTTGCAAAGTGATCACGATTTGAGCCCATGTTGCAAAAGGATCGCGATTTCGGCCCATGTGTTGGAAAATGATCGCCAACTAAGGCCGATGCGTTCAGACATGATCGCCAGTTGTGCACGTTTGTTGTAAAATGACCCTGGAATTGCGAGTGTTGCAGAATGATCACAAATTGGTGTTGTAAAATGACCGCCCTCCCGGAAAATGCCCCATGTCTTGTGCCTCTTCTTTTGACAGGACAACGTTTCGGCGCCTGCTGCAGAATGGAGGACTGCTGCAACATGTGCTGCAAGTGAGATGACCGTGTCATGCTGGGTTGGGCTGTCGGTTGTTCAAATTGGAATTGCAAATTTATTGGCCCGTATGGTCATAATTTCCGGTGTTGCAGTGGTGTCCCACCGCGGGTTGTTGATTCCCCCCGCCCCCACGGAATTTTAAAAAATCCAGGCAACAGGCAAACATGCCACGGGCCAGTTGGGATGTTCGTCTGATCTTAAAATCAAACTAAGATTCCGAGTTTGCACCTCTCCTTAAAACATTCGGGCTACCCATGGCATGTGTTCCGTACAGACACATGCAAGTCGACTGGGTCTCATTTTGCTTAGGGGTCCGGCGGGCTGTTATGAGCAAAACCTGCCCAGAACTCGTGGAAAGCTTGCTACATCCGCCACAGGCTACACCAGTTTCTTTCAAAGGGAATAACCTGCTCAGTGCGCCAACCCCTTTCGTAGGCATCTGACAGATTCAGTGAAAGGTGAAGGCATATGACAACCCTCGCCGCGCAGCAAGCTGCAGGAACGCTTGCATGCTATTTTGTTTGAATGCCCCTTGAAGGTAACGCCACCAGGGCACCCAACAAACACCCGGTTTGAAGAGCCATCTTTTGTTAGAGGACCACGATGATCTCTTGTTCGGGCCCCTCCTTTCAATTGGATATTTTTGCAAGTTGTTTAAAGGGAAACGACAACGGAAGCCAAAACGACAGCTGACAAGGTGACCGGGTGCAACTTATGTTTGAGACAACACCTGCAGCATGAATCCCAAAAAGTCAGCAGAGTGAACCTCTTTTCTCAATGTCTTGACCTTGGTTCTCCCATGAACCTATCTTGACCTTGCCCTTCAAAACCACCAAAAGCCTCCGGAGTTTCCTATACCCTGTCTCAAGCCCCCTGTTCCGCGTGAGGCGCATCAACGGCGCGCTGGCGCTCTTCGAGGCCTTGGCCTACAAGGAGGGCAGCGACCTCGGCAGGCGCGGCTTTTGCATGCGAAAGCTGGCCTCACGTTTGGGTCCTTGGTGGTTTCCCCGCAAACCACGGGCAAAATCGGGTCCTGCTGAAAGTGGTCGTTTGATTTTGGAGGGACCCGTAGCATTCTCAAAGTCACTTCATTCAGAGGTAGTTTACTTGGACCTTGAGTCAGGTATGGAAAGGGACGTGAAGGACAGAGGGATTTGAATCATCGTCAACATACTCTACACTCTCCAGTCGCGAATCGGCATCCTGCTTTCCTGTCTTTTAGTGGGTACCTATCTGCGAACAATGGGAGCCAACCGATGAACCACAAACACCTGTTGCAGTCGGCGATCGATTCAGCCTTGGCTTCTTGATTGTTAAGTGTTGTCAAACTCAACCCACACGGGTGTGTGACAAGATAGAGCGACCCCAAGCGGTGATTTTCCCTTTGCCCTTTGAACAAACCTGAACAGGGTACCACACACGCACAAGCACACACACACACACACATAGCCGACGATGAACTGCTGATGTGCCCTTGTGTTATAGGATTGTTGTTGCCGCAGAATCGGTTGCTGAACCACTCCTCGTTGGTTGGGGATGATGGCAGGATGATATCTACAGTCCAACGCTTGTTGGTTCAGGTGTGACACATATCAATACATGAACAACTCCATCCAGCGAAACGCACATCGCCATTGATATGCAACACTAGAATACTGTGGTAACTGTCTGCTTGAAACAGTGCCCGAATCACTTGATTTGGCAGGTCATGGTTTGAGGTGAAGATGGAGAACCGCCTCAAAGAGCTTCAGAACTTCAGCCCGGAGCCTTGAACAGCCATCAGGGGTAGGTCCATTGCAAAGATGTATGGCCTACCTAAAAATGCAGGTTTCCTCTTGGAGATTTGCCAAACTGGTCCCAAAACAGCAATCAATAGGATCACCCTGGCCCCCGATCAGTCAGCAGATCCGAAATCAGAATAAACTTGGGTCTCCGCAATATCGTGCCATCATCCTACGTCCAAAGTGGAAAGACACTGCGTTTCATGTGTGTGTGTGTGTATATGTTTGTTGCATCTCCATGCAGGTCACACAGGTGCAATCTTGCATCCAGTTGGGGGTTTGCTCGTTGTGTTTCGGCATGTTTGGGCATTGGACATCATTGCAATGGCTCACCCTGTCAGGGATACAGATCTCGTTCTTATCTCATTTCAGGTCCCTCGGAAGACCCGTTGCTTGTTTGGTTTCTTGCAAGGAAGGCTTGTATGATCTTGAGTCCAATCATTGTGCGTCTCACTGGGATCTGCAGTTTTGAGGTTTTGCTGTATAGGACCTGTGTGTTTTTGCTGACAGCTGACATACGCCTGTTCAGAAAAGCCGCGTGCATGAGTGCTTCAGCCTTTGTTTAAAGCTTATTTCGCGTGTTGAGTTCCAAAGGGTTCTGGCATGGATTGCACTGCTTCATTCAAGACCTCTTTCGTTCGAGACCTCTGTTCCAGCCTTGTTGTTTTGAGACCTGCGTTCAAGACCCTTGTGTTCCTTTGGTTTCCCCTTCAACCAACCCCAAAAAATGCACCCTCAGAAAAGGAAAAAAAACTCATCCCCCCCCCCCTCACCAAGAAAGGCTCCTTTAGGCCAAGTGCCGAGAGGTCACGAGGAGGACCCCCGGGTGGCGTTGCTCATCCGCCGCGCCGCCAACTCGGCGGCACAAGCGGCGGCAACGCTGCGCTGGGAGGATGACGTGCTGCTGGAAGAGGCGGCTGACGTGGGGCAGGGTCATTAGGTCAAACTTTCCTTTTCAGCTGGGTTCAGATGTTGACCTTTTGGGCCAGTTACTGTAGATGAGTTTCCTTTTGTTATAGTGGTGTTTAAGGGGGAAACATTGACATGGCGGGTGGTTGCTGCGGCGGGGGAGAGGCCGAACAAAAGTGTCCTAGCAAGCTGAGACCCTGCAGTAGGTGTCAGGTCAGTTTGGTTTAAAAATGTTGAACATATGAGCTGGTTTCAGTTTGGCTCGAATCATTTGCCACTGCCATCCATTTGTCCAAAAGGATCTTATGGGGGAGGGTATTGGCTTGCCTCTCATAAGGTTGAAGTTCAAGGCCAAGAGGGCCGGACCCTTCGAAGGATGCGCCTCAGGGTTTGAGAGGTGTCAAAGTATAGTTGTCCTCAGGTACCCCAAAATAAACTCCGGGTTCATGTTAATGTTTTTCGAGAGTAGCACGTGGCACCTCTTGATCGATGGCCCTTAGAAAGAGCATCTGTGTTCAGCAACGCGGTGAGGATTCTGAGGCTTTAATTTGATGGGCATGACCTCAAGCGCGCATCATATGTCTGAAGCTTTGCATTCGTGGATTTGGACTTCCCGAAGGGGCAACAAGTGCACTTCTTTCATGGACTGTTCAAGCATGAGGTGGCACCAAGTGTGCCTTGGGCAAGTTCCATGATGGGTAAGTTATGGTAGGTTTTGATAACCATGATCAAGATTCCTATTGAGGTCAGCATGACCATGGCCCACATCAGGATTTGGGTCGTGGCACCTGTGACTGTATGGCTGTCTATCAGAACTCAGGTTCCCGTGTAGCCCCTTGTCGAGGAACCTTCATTTGGTTGATGTAAGATATTCAAGGGCCAACAAGAAGAAGTCAACCATGTTTCCTGACAACCCTTGTGGTGCTTTTTTCTTTTGGGGGGGGGAGAATCTTAGTGCTTTTTTGGGAATTCGGGTGGAGTCACACGTCCTCTCAGGCTGTTGTAGATATCGAGACCGGCGGCGAAGCTGGCGCGAGGGTCAATGGCGAGCCGGCCAGAGGTGACTCGCGGGTTTCTCGAGAAGCCTTTTGTCTCATCCCCACCCGTGAAGCACAACTTATTCGGGGGAGTCGAACTGAACTTGCACAGAGGTCTAATATGGCCATGGGTCAAAATCCCGTACCCCCAGTGAACATCCGAATCCCAACTAAAATAGACTAAAATGAGTGGTGCACTTGCCCCACAATGGTACCATATTTTTTTTTGACCCACAGCCATATGGTGTAATCAACTTGGAAAGTTGCCATGCTTCCAGCGCTGACAAGATTCTTTCGGGTGACTCATTTCGCCGGAGGGGATGCTGAGAGATGCAGGTTGACTTTTCTCCTAGGTGGTGCATGGGAGAGATGTACCACCGCCCCCCAAAAGGAAAATAGATAAAAATGGGGCCAGTTCCTTCCCAATAGATTCTCCCTAGGAGCAAGGGAACTCCTTCCAATATCCCGCTTGGGTCAGGGGCTCACAGCTTCTACAACACAATCGTTTCACTTCTGGAGGGGGGGTCCAAGAGCTCCCTAGTCAGGGAACCCTAAACGGGTCCTAATAACCAGATTCCAGCTTGCGCCGAAGGACAATCATGTGGAGCATCCTCGCTCCCATTTAGTAAGCAGCCCCAACCCCTCGTGCCTTAACGCCATGCCAAACATGACCATGAAGCAATTCGTCGAATAGGCGGCTGATGTGTTGAGCGCTCCCAAACAACCCAAACCCCCGAGTCCTTGTTAGGCCATGTCTACGGGAAGGGAGCTACATCTAGTCCAAAATGCAGATAGGCAGCTCACGATCCATTGATTCCTCCCAAGTACCCAAAACAGAAGGGCTGATGCAATCATATTATGTTTTCACTGAATTCTTCAACAAAATAGCAGTCCAGCTTCAGCAGGATCAGAACAAGGCTGGCGTTCCTTCTGCCACGCCAGGCTCTTCGCTGAACCCAGCCATCATCGGCAGGCGCACCGAGTCGATGGCATTGTCACCGCCCAAAGAGGCGGTGAGCGCGACAGCTGGAGAGCCCAGAAGTGGATGGGCGGGAAGCACTCAAAGAGCTTAAATCATTGGAAGGTGGGTGTGGGATGTCTCGAGTCAAGGGGATACGTTACAACTATGTACAACTGTTTGGTTGGTTCAAAGGCAAGTCAAGTGGAAGCTGCATAGTTGTTGGAGTCCCCACATGTTGAGAAGCCCAGGGTTTGCCGAGTTTATCGTGCACATGGTGGTAGGGGACGCTGGCTGTGCGCATCGATTCAATTTTTTTGGGAGCTGGGGTTGTAAACCAACGCATGCGGAGTCTGACTTAGCTCGATGGAGGGAGGGGCGGAACTGCCTGCTGATGGCACGAACAAAGAGTGTTGAGGAGCCATAGGAGCCCTTGATCTTGTTCCTACTGAGAGGACCACTCCTTCCTGTTGTCCGCTGTCTCACACGGTTTCCTGTTTTGTTTATTGCGTGTTGTTGTTCGTTCTGTGTTCATATATGTGTTGGTATTTTGTAGTTGTTTGTTTGCTTTATGTTGTTCCTTCGTTCTGAATGTATGTATGTTCAATTTTGCTAGTCATTATATATTTATTATTTGTGTATGCGGTTCTGTGTTTATGTATGTCTTGTTCATATTTTGTGATTTAGCCGTGCTTTTCTTTCTTTATTTCTGCATTTATCTCGTCCTATGTGTTTTATTTATGTCATTTCATTGTTTATGTCTTGCTAATTAGAACGTAATGTATGTCGCTATGTATTTGCTTTATTCGTTGTTGATGTGTTTGTATGTATTTGCTTGCTTATGTTTTTCTTTGTTTTTGTCTTTCGTTATTTTTTTTACAAGCACAATCAACAGAGCAGCACAATTTGCGTATGTATGCGATTATGTCCTTTCTTTATTTCTTTCTTTCTGTCTTTCTTTCTTTCTTTCTTTCTTTCTTTCTTTCTTTCTTTCTTTCTTTCTTCATTTCGTTCTTGCTTCTTTGTCTTTCTGTTTTCTACTTATTCATTCAGTGAATTACTGGTGTGATTGTTGTTTGTTTGTTGGTTTGTGTTTTTGTCATTCGTTCTTGCATTTGTTCGGTCCTTCTTTAGTTATGCGAGCAATGATTTATGTATAATTGTTAATCAAATTTCTTGTTTACTTGTTTCTGTATGTCCGTCATTCGGTATTTTGTTTTTCATCTTCGTCTGTTCATTATGTGATGTTATTCATTTCGCTCCACATTTGGTTGTTGCTCGCCATTATTGTTGTTTGCATGCCTTTCTTTGTCCCTTTGTTTCTGTGTTTCTGTCCTTTTGTATGTCCGTATTTCTTTGTTGGTTTATTTATGTCTTTCATTTGTTCTCTCTTTGAGTCTTTATATCTGTCGCAGTCTTCATCGTGGTACGTTGCCCTTTCTGTAGTTGTTTATGTGTTTTTCTCTCTCTCTCTCTCTATGTCTCTTTCTGTTTTTGTGTTTGTCAGTTTGACTATATGTTTAATGGAATCCCACAAAATGGGTGGGATTTCCTTTTGGTCTCCTTTTAAGTCCACCCCAAACGGGCACCTCGAACGAAAACATCCATGTGTATGTTTCTCTCTAGCTTTTTTGTTTCTTTATGTTTATCTTTCTTTATGAATGTCTTTCTTGGCTTCTTTTATTACTTTTTGTTTGTTCTTTGCAACGTTTGTTTGCCTGTCTGTCTGTCTACCCATCTGTATGCCTTGAGTTGATTCGTATTTGTTTTGTTAGATACATGTGTGCCGTTTGCTATATGGTATATATGCATATAGTTCTTTCGTTATTTATTGTGATTTTCTTTCGTTCTTTGAGCCTCGTTTTTTCTTTCGTTTCTTTGCTCGTATTGTTGTTATTTTTTTATTTCTCTCTTTCTCTCTCTCTCTCTAGCTTTCACTCTCTTTCCCTCTTGATGTGTTTTGTGGAGCATGTTACTGAGGTGGTGCAACAAGATGTGCCAACGCAGCGCTTTTGCTGCTGTCGCAGACGGCGGCCGCCGCAACAGGACCTTTGGAACGGGCACGCATGCTACCAGAGCACAAAGTTTTGCCGGTTCGCACAAGCCGGCAAATATGCTCTGATGAGCAACATGTTGGCTTTATGTAAGTTTCTTTAGTCGTATGCCTCCTCAAAGCTTCGCTTCACGACTTGCTTATGCTTACTGAATTGCCCTGAGGTCTTTGCTAGCTTTGTTTTTTTGTCGGCGCGCTCCAGATCCACCAAGTATATTCGAAAGTGTACCCCATTATGATTCGTTGGCAACTCTCAGCCTTGCTCCTGATCAGGGGGCCGGAATCTTGTTAAAACCCAGCGCCCCTTTGGATTTCCCCTGGGTTGTAAGCCCACGGAGTCACCAGAAATGGGGATCCCGGCTCCAGTTGAGGGCGTTGTGCTTGAGGAGCTGCCAAAGGAGCCGGAAGAAGGGGATAACCTTCTGCAAGCCTGAGCAGCGGGCAAATGTGGAGCTGCACCACGACGTGTTCTATGAGTTATTCAGTTATTCGCCTGGGACGCTTTTGGGGGTTGTTTGAAAGGGACAACATCACAACTTCAGCGGATTGCCGAATATTTTGGGCACACCGGCAGACTGCGGAGTCCCCCTGTCGGAATACCTACTTGGGTGAAACATAGTTAATACTTCACCCAAAAACATGGACGATGGCTTGTATTTGTTTGACTAGTAGTTTTGATTGGCGGGGGATGAATTTTGTTGGTTGGAAGATGTTGCAAAATGGAAAGTCGGCATAAATTTGCATGGGGATGAGAACCACCGGAGGATTAGTATGTCCCTCGTTTGGTTGCTTAAACATCACATATGGGGCGAATGTACGTTTTGTGGGTACCCCAATCTTAACACGTGAGCGTGACTCCCGGGAGGCTATGCTACACCCTGGCAGCAGGCAAAGAGTCCTTCGCACGATGCCGGGGCCCCGTGTCAGACCCACGGCGTGGCTCAGTCCAAATGTAGTCACTTTCAAAATTTCTATATGAAAAAGCTAGACGGGGGCGAGCTAAACGTCATGGAAAAGCCACTCGTGAACTCACGTGGTGTTGGCCTCTGGTTGATAAACAGGCCCCTGTCCACGCCCCAAGGCCAGCAGCGTTTGGACAAATCGTGGGAAGGTTTGTGAGACCATTTAGTTTTGGATCTTGGCAGTCATTTCCTTTCCGGCCCCACGGCAAGAAGGCAAAAATAACCTGAGATCATGCCAGGAGAATTCAAGTCAGAATCTGGGGAGGGTCTAGGGAATACTCCCCTACAAATATGGCAACCTGAGATGAGTGCTTTGGAGAGTAAATGTTGGCCTATACCGTGGGGGATGCTTGTTGGGGAGATCCTTAGTGATCTTATATCTTGTAAAGAAGTAGCTGGTTGAACCTGGTTTGGCCAATTTAGAATGGCAATGCCCGGGACTTCAAAGGAATTGGTAACTACCTTGACAACTCAGCATCGAGGTGTGGATTTTGGCATTCTGAGTGCCACACCCACGCTTATTGTTTGTTCTAGCCAAGCCTCGCGGGCCCCTTTCACTTAGTATGAGTCGGCACTTGGTCTGGAAGCATCGACCTGATCGAACAGCGGTGACAACATGTCCCACGCATGAAGGGTTGGAAGCCCAGTGGAGTCGATGATGTGGGGCTTTCCGTTGGTATCCCCTTTGGGGATGGTTTCAAGGCAAAACAAAGCCAAGCACCCCTTTGTTTTCGAGGTGCCATCTCTTGAACAGAAAGGGTTGTATCACAGGTTGCAGTGAGCAACTCACCCGCGAATTTTGTTGGATTCCTCCGAAGGAGTTACATTTTAAAGTGTACTAGATATGGGCTAGAATCAAATATATTCTTCATGGCTGCATGGCCAAAGCCGAGGCAGCTAAATGAAGAGCTGTCTTGCTATGTGTTCAGTCACGTTTGTCACTGAGGCACAACTTATGAGCCCTCGTGCAGCCTTTGCAAGCCTGGCGCTCATTTGCCGCCACGGTAGTACGGCGCTCACTACATCAGAAACAGCTGATGTTTGTCGTCTTTGTGTGTGTGTGTTGTTTGCCTGCTTGACTGATTGCTTGATTATACGTGTTTGATTGCTTGACTGTTTCTTTGCGTGCTAGCTTGGTTGTTTCGTTGATTGTTTATTGGTGTGTTTGTTTCTTTGGTTGTTTCTTTGTTTGATTGTTTGGACCGTGTTGCTTGTTGTCTGTTGGTTTGTTTGTTGGTTGGTTGGTTTGCTTGCTTGCTGGCTTGCTTGCTTGGCTACTTGTTTGTTTCCAGTGTTGTTCTTGTTCATTGTTGTTTGTCTGGGATAGTAGGAGGAGGTTCATTTCCGTTTCTGGTTTTCCGATGGGGTTCACTTAATGATGTGTGGACCAAACAGCAACTTTCAAATTTCTAGGGAATACCCGATTCGAGGCAAGGACAATTGTTCAACGTCTAGTGGTATGTTCAGAGGTTTTGGCGTCAGTCAGCATGGTGTGGAAACTAGGCATTGCCCCAAGCCCAACACTTTGCCACGCGCCCGAGGACGGAGCCGCCCTGCGAGAGCTTTTGCGAGGCCAGAGGATTTAGGCTGCTTATATCTTGTTGCTCTCCATGGTTGCCAGATGTTCTATTTTCTTTTCCGTAGAACAAGAGAATCTGTGTCTACTGGCAAAGCGGGCTCTTTAGGTCCGGAAGTTGAATGTGCCAGAAAAGCGCAAAGGGGTCGGCTTCCATATTTCTGTACATTGGAATGGTCCTGCTGTTGACAGAGAGCTCCATTACTTTGAATGAAGCAGTACAGGTTGCGGGCAATGCGCTATGCTGGATGTTGTGCTGGATTTTGGTCCCACAACCCCTCGGCTCATCTAGACTTCACAGGCCTTCTCACCTCTTTCTCTCTCATCGCCCACCCTTACATGAACACCTCCACAAGGAACGTAGCCCACTCAAAGCAACATTTCCACAAGGAACCGCTATTCGTGACAACCAGGAAACTAGCTCACCAGTATCAATTATGTACCACAGTGGAAATAGCCTACCTGTATCGGCCTCTGCAAAGAAAACAGCCGACAATAATCCGTTAAAGGACGGAAACCCACCATTTTCTGTTTTCACAAGGGACATGACTCAGCATGATCCCTTTCCGCAAGGAAAGCTCACCATTGTCCATGTTAACAAGGATTTTCTCCCACCCATATGTATATATATATATATATAACATGTACATGTTTTGATACATATATTTACATATATATATATATATGGTACCCCCCCCCCATGGACCCTGGTTTGGTGCGGTTGACCGGTGTTTTCCAGTGTTTTATGCTTCTTTTTGCTTCTTGGATTTGTGTCAAAATTGGGGGGAGGGTCGTACATGTATATGATATGCATGCAAGCATACAGATGTGATAAAAGCAATGACATCAGCACCTGCAATCTGAAAGAGTTTGAATGCATCCAAGAATACAAGAACAACTCAGACATTTTTAAAAATTATTAAAAATTCTGGGATTCAAGATTCAAGATTCAAGAATGGGAGAAAATATTTTCTGGGAATCTTGAATCTTGAATCCCGGATTTTTTAAAAATTATTAAACATTCTGGATTCAAGATTCAAGATTCAAGAATCTGAGAAAATATTTTCTGGGAATCTTGAATCTTGAATCTTGAATCCCATAATTTTTAAAAAGTTTTAAAAATTCCAGGGTTGTCCCAATACTCTCGGTGTTCAATAAGATTCTCGGACAAGTTTTCCGTGAAATAGTTCAATCCAGTGGTAACGGATGTTCGAGGTGATAGAACAACTTGAACATTTTAGGGGTTGACCAGGATGGATGATTCTGAGGAAAGTGGTGGTTTATGGGCTCCTCAATATTGAATCCCCAATCCAGTGGTAAAGCACTTTCAAGTGTTAGAAGAACTTGAATGCTATTTGGGTTTGGCCAGGATTGACAATTCTCACGAAAGTGTTCTGTGTAATCTTCAATATTGAATCTTCCATCCGATAGTAGCAAATGTTCAAGTGCTTAGCGATCCAGTGGACACACTTTCAAGTTATTGGTTAGACAAACTTTCAAGTGCTTTTGGTGAGCTTCATGTCAGCTATGCTCATGTTGACCCCTTTCCAGGAGGTAAACAAAGGCAGGTGCAACGCTCAAGAATACTGCATTTTCCAGTATTTTACGAGGAGGCGCAGGATCATTGGGGGTACTATATATGTGTGTATGTATGTGTATATATAGATATACATATGTATGTACGTTCACACACCGTCCCCCACCCTCTTCAACTACCTGTCCACATTTGCTCATCTACTACCTCCACCTTTTGACATAGAATTAACTGTCCTGCGCAAATAGAACTTTAAATACAACGGTTTAGCTAGAATCCCTGTTTCGAGATAGTTTTAGATTTTGAACCTCTCTTCCCTTGAAATTTCCCTTTGGAACACCGTCTAACAAGTTCAATATCGGACCTTTCCTATGCTACAAAAGGGCCAGAATGTAAACAACACAAATCCTATTTTTAATTTCCAAATGTTTAGCCATATTTAATATGAATTATATTTGAGATGTAGTCTCTATTCACTTGATATTATCAAAAGCAAATTGAGTTGTGTTTGTCTTAGATTATACTTACCACTTGGATTATATTTGGGAAACAACTTCCATCTAACTTCTTGTGTTATAGATTAGTTGGAGTTTAGCCGAAAATATATATTTACATTTTTCATGTAGCTGCTATTTGGAAAGGATTTGCTTGTTTAAGCTGTAATTGAACATAAACACATGTTTGAAAACTATATCCATACTAAACTATATTCAAATTCCAATTCTAGTTGAAATAGCATCTTATGTGCAAAGGGTATCATACTGGGACATTGTGGAGGACTCCGGGCTCCAAATTATCACGCTTTGGGGACCCACAATTGGAAATTTCGAGAATATAAATTTGGGAAATTCTAGATTTGCCATCCCCAAAAGGCAGTAAAACCAGGGTCCATGGGGGGGGGGTTGCATATATATATATATATTTCCACAAGGGAAGTAGCCAACTTTTGTACATCTCTGCCAGGAGCGTTGCCCACCATTTGTCCAATCCACCAGAGACACAGCCGCAAAAGATCCGTTTCCACAACATGATCCGCGTTCACAAGGAAGACTGCTTAGAATGATCCGTGTTAGCAAGGAAATTGTCTGCCATTGTCCATGTCCACAAGAGACGACACACATCTCTCTGTTTCCGCAAGGACAACAGCCCACAATGGTTCATGTTCCCTTCAAGGAGAATAGCCCACAATTGTTCAGCTTTACAAGGGAAATCGCCGCCCAACATGATTCATGTCCATGACAAAATCGCCTACAATGATTAAAAGGAAATAGCCCAGCATGTTTCATGTTCACAAGGACTATCCCCCGCCATTCATGTTCACAAGGAACATCGCCTGCAATTTGACCATTTTTACCTGGACTGGACAAAGCACATTAGCAATTGGGAATGTTTGTTGGTAGTCCACTGTTGGATACGGGGATCTCAATACTCCTACAACAAACCAGGGTCACTCAGGTTTCTCACGTCCTGTTGGGGCAACACGTAATCGTGTCCGAGTCTCATTCAGCGCTCAAAATGAACCGTCTGCTCTGAAGGGGATGACATGTACCCTCGTGCACTCAGTTAGCAGTCGGGATGACAGGCGGAGCTCCTTAAGCCTCAGCCCTTGGGTCGGGGCCCTGGAGCGCTGGGACCTGATCACTAGCTTCTGAAAAATATCTGGGGAAGTAGTCCCAGGGGAAATGCGGAAGTTCTACCCATTTTTTGATGAAGTGTCTACCTAGCGTATGCGTTTCTCTTGGGGCAGTGGTTTCGGGGTAGGGGGAACCCGCAAAGACAGACAGAGCTGGTTGGTCAGGGTTCCTTTTCTAAAAGTCTCTTGAGGAGATTTCAAGGCCTTTCGGTCAGGGGGCCTCCAACCAAAAATGTGTTTTTCGTTATTTGGGCGCCCATTGTTGTGGTGGCTTGAAAGGGGCACCGAAGGGAAACCATTTTTGCTTGCAGCTTGCAGGTTGCCGTAGCAGAAATGTGGAACTACAGGACATTCCATGTGAGCTGAGTGCTAACTATAAAGCTGCTTAACTTTGAGCGGGACATGAGTCCAAGTTCAGCAGAATCCTTGGCAATGTTGGAGGATTCTCCAGTTTATTTTGAATGACTCTCAATGGTTTCTCACGCATAGAGGCTCGCCTAATCCCGGGTGGGGTTCAAATTGGGATCCATCGCTCTGGTGACCTGCGCCGGCGTTTGTTTGCGCGGACTGCGAGGTTCAATTTGCCACTTCGATGACGAGTGCCGCTGGCCCAGCCATGGTTCCAAGGCGCCAGGTTCGGCAAATCGGACAGCCCGGCATTTCAAACATTGCCTTTGCCGATAAGGATCATAGGAATTCTGTTGGATCTATTGCGGGTCCCAAATGCTTGGTTTTACTTTGTCTTGCCTTGAGACCAGCCCAACAAAGGTTCTTGCTAGATCCCAGCAGGCAAAGTCATTTCACCCGGGACCCGGATCCGAATTTTGTACTGCCAGCGTGGCCGAGCGCTTGTTTTCGGTACATGGGGAGAACGTGCTGTTGAAGTGGTGCTTTCATGCTTTGCTGCAAGCACATTTCTCAGAAACTCCACTGACACATTGTCAATATGGTAAGCACGTGTCTCACAGAGTATTTCTGCTGGAACTTCTACAGGAAGTTATATTTGCTTAGACTGGGCCTAGCCAGGCCTAGAGTGGGCTTATCCAAGGCTAGAGTGGGCTTATCCAAGGCTTATCCAAGCTTTGAAAATCGTGGTCTCCGAAGGGCTTGTCCAGGAACGGGGATCTTGCCGTACCAGTGGGCAAATCTCGAGGAAGTTTAATTTGGCTTAACTTGGGCTTATTTTAGAATAAACAGCTTAAATGGCCCTTAAACATGCTTGAATCCCTTTAAAACAGCTTAGGCTACATTCCCAATGCCTTCTTTAACTTCCTGGATAATATCCTGGATATTTTGTAGCAAGTTCTCAGAAAATGCCACACTGACACATTGTCAATATGGTAAGCACGTGTCTCACAGAGTATTTCTGCTGGAACTTCTACAGGAAGTTATATTTGCTTAGACTGGGCCTAGCCAGGCCTAGAGTGGGCTTATCCAAGGCTTATCCAAGCTTTGAAAATCGTGGTCTCCGAAGGGCTTGTCCAGGAACGGGGATCTTGCCGTACCAGTGGGCAAATCTCGAGGAAGTTTAATTTGGCTTAACTTGGGCTTATTTTAGAATAAACAGCTTAAATGGCCCTTAAACATGCTTGAATCCCTTTAAAACAGCTTAGGCTACATTCCCAATGCCTTCTTTAACTTCCTGGATAATATCCTGGATATTTTGTAGCAAGTTCTCAGAAAATGCCACACTGACACATTGTCAATATGGTAAGCACGTGTCTCACAGAGTATTTCTGCTGGAACTTCTACAGGAAGTTATATTTGCTTAGACTGGGCCTAGCCAGGCCTAGAGTGGGCTTATCCAAGGCTTATCCAAGCTTTGAAAATCGTGGTCTCCGAAGGGCTTGTCCAGGAACGGGGATCTTGCCGTACCAGTGGGCAAATCTCGAGGAAGTTTAATTTGGCTTAACTTGGGCTTATTTTAGAATAAACAGCTTAAATGGCCCTTAAACATGCTTGAATCCCTTTAAAACAGCTTAGGCTACATTCCCAATGCCTTCTTTAACTTCCTGGATAATATCCTGGATATTTTGTAGCAAGTTCTCAGAAAATGCCACACTGACACATTGTCAATATGGTAAGCACGTGTCTCACAGAGTATTTCTGCTGGAACTTCTACAGGAAGTTATATTTGCTTAGACTGGGCCTAGCCAGGCCTAGAGTGGGCTTATCCAAGGCTTATCCAAGCTTTGAAAATCGTGGTCTCCGAAGGGCTTGTCCAGGAACGGGGATCTTGCCGTACCAGTGGGCAAATCTCGAGGAAGTTTAATTTGGCTTAACTTGGGCTTATTTTAGAATAAACAGCTTAAATGGCCCTTAAACATGCTTGAATCCCTTTAAAACAGCTTAGGCTACATTCCCAATGCCTTCTTTAACTTCCTGGATAATATGGATTATTTTGTAGCAAGTAATCAGAAAATGCCACATGACAGACAGGCAATATGGTAAGCAAGTGTCTCACAGAGTATTTCTGCTGGAACTTCTACAGGAAGTTATATTTGCTTAGACTGGGCCTAGCCAGGCCTAGAGTGGGCTTATCCACGGCTTATCCAAGCTTTGAAAATCGTGGTCTCCGAAGGGCTTGTCCAGGAACGGGGATCTTGCCGTACCAGTGGGCAAATCTAGGAAGTTTAATTTAGCTTAACTTGGGCTTATTTTAGAATAAACAGCTTAAATGGCCCTTAAACATCCTTGAATCCCTTTAAAACAGCTTAGGCTACATTCCCAATGCCTTCTTTAACTTCCTGGATAATATCCTGGATATTTTGTAGCAAGTTCTCAGAAAATGCCACACTGACACATTGTCAATATGGTAATCACGTGTCTCACAGAGTATTTCTGCTGGAACTTCTACAGGAAGTTATATTTGCTTAGACTGGGCCTAGCCAGGCCTAGAGTGGGCTTATCCAAGGCTAGAGTGGGCTTATCCAAGGCTTATCCAAGCTTTGAAAATCGTGGTCTCCGAAGGGCTTGTCCAGGAACGGGGATCTTGCCGTACCAGTGGGCAAATCTCGAGGAAGTTTAATTTGGCTTAACTTGGGCTTATTTTAGAATAAACAGCTTAAATGGCCCTTAAACATGCTTGAATCCCTTTAAAACAGCTTAGGCTACATTCCCAATGCCTTCTTTAACTTCCTGGATAATATCCTGGATATTTTGTAGCAAGTTCTCAGAAAATGCCACACTGACACTTTGTCATTGTGGGGCATCCAAAGTAGAAAACCCCGTAGACGAGAATTTCATGTTGGTCCACTCATGTTGAAATTCCTATGGCATTCCCAGCGGTCCAGGTGGCGGGGATCCGCTGGCTGCCTGTCACTATGGCATTTGCCGGCGCTTGCTGTGGGCAGGCAGGAGCACTCAGTCGCCAGTCCGGCGCCAGCAAAATTCGCCTAGCCCCTCATCGGTGAAAATAGATGGCACTACGTCTACCTTGGTTCAAAATCCTTTGCCAGTGCCATTGAATTGTTCCAAGAACTTTGTGTGCCGGACAGCCTGCTCGGGCTTGGCCTGTTCCTCGTATTGAGGGTATCTGAACGATGCGGCTGGCAGTCACAGGGTAAAGTGGCCTCCGTGCGCTCTCTCGCTTGGTTGTCTGTTGTGCTTGTTCACCAATATCTGAGCAAGCAATCCTGGACGGTTGCAATCTTTTGTGTTTCTCATTGGCAACTTGGAGCTGTACACCGTGACGGTTGCATTTGCGCGTATCAACTTGATGTGTTGGATAGGTGTTTCATATGTGGCCACAGTATAGCCATTGCCCGCCATTTGCTGTGCAGGTCATATCATCAGGTCATCCTAAACATGACAATTGAGATTGCTGGCTTTTTTGCACACCCTACTTTAGTTGCAATTGTTCATGCCAGCGCCCCTTGGTTGTTTGCCGTGCAGACAATTTTTCACTATAAACATGATACCTGGTTTGGCAGGAAACGCATGTTACGTCTTTAGCATGGGGGCGGCGCAGCATTGCAATTGTGATAGAGCATTCGAAATCATCAGCCTTTGGTGTCCCCTAAGCCTAACCAGTGCTGTATTTTATCCATTGGTACAGAGGTCGACCTCAACGGCCCCAAGAGGACGGTTACTTGAGGGTAGCGTCCGCGCTATTTGGTTGTAGTTGTACCCCCTTTTCGGACAAGCCTAGGAGTGGACGTTTGAGGCCTTGTCAAGAGGATGATAGTCTTCCAAAACCATCCGGTCCACTTCCATGGCAATAGCTAGCTGGAAAGGGTCCCACCTGTGGGAACGGTTTCAAGCTACACACCCCATAACATCCCATAAAAAGCCGGTCTACAGTCAACAATGGTTTGTTTACCCTGTAAATATCGTTGGCCATGCCATGGTCAAAACTCCCTGTGTCAGTCCTTCTTTTGTAAGTAGAAACCCTAAACAATGTTGGTCTATACTGCTATACCCTCCCAGAGAGTCCAAATGCTTAAATGCTTGAGGGGGCAGAAAGGCCTCAAAGTATATTCTCACAAGGTAGCACGGGAGCGCACTGCCTGTCGCCTTTGAATCTTTGAGAGGCCAGAAGTGCGGCGGGGAGCACGATGTATGCATCTACGGAGGTGTGGTTGCGGAGAACCCTGCTGTATGGAGCTTGTTTAAAGAGTTCAAAAAGGAAGCCAAACTTAATGAACATCATCCACGTTCTTTTGGGAGTGCCCCATTTGGAGACAAACCCATATATTATATATCCCCCTTCTACATTTGTTTAGATAATGGCGGGGCTTGGATACCCTGCCAACTTCCTTTTTCTACACAAACTCTTGTTGAAGGATCATTCAACTACCTACATTTTCTAATTGATGTTTAGAAGATGGATGTGATCATGACAGGTCATGGGTTTGCCATGTACTTTTCGCCCAGCTGTGGTGGCTGTTTTGGGGGCTTGGGGGGGGGAGAATTGGCCCCGCATGGGATTGTGACCCAAATGATCAAGTTGTTTTTCGGATGGTCCTCGCCACAGAATGCTGGGTCCAAGCCCACTGGTTGATCCCAGATGTTGACCAGTCTCATGTTCCTAGTTGTTAATGATGGCTTGATCTGACAAGACTCTTCTAAACTGAGACCTTGCTGAATCCCGGCTTTGGATTCACAACGATAGGCACACTTTCACATGGCGGTGCTTGCTGCGTATCAGGGAAAGTTGAGTTCAACGCGACGGCGTTGGACGCTCCGCCCCGGAGGTGAGCAATGCGATGGCGTCCGCTGTGTGGGCTTGTGCCTGAGGGGTGGACATGGTGTCGACTCCGCATCCCCTAGCCAATGTATTGAGGGGCTCCGGTCCACCATGCTCCATAGTTTCCCTTGGTGGCTGACAGGAAACAATGTATAACCTCGGGGGTTGCCTCAATTTCAGTTGGGGGCATGTCAGAGATACCCCTCCGCACACATATGACGCAAATGACCAGTTTGTTCAGTCCAAGGTTTGATGGCGTTGTTTGCTGCAGTTCGGCAGGTTGTGATTGAACGAGTGCCAGTGAATTAGACTACCACAGCCCTATGCTCATCTGAGATGGGCAGGCAGAGTTGCAAGACATGATGCAAGAGCAATTTGAAGATATCAAGGGCGCTCCGCTACTTCACGACAGCGCAGTGCCTCAGTGCCTGCTATTCGTGCAACTGGTATTCTCTTGTGACTATTCACACAATTTATGACACGCACGCCGCGACCATGCCCGGACATGCAGTCGTTTTATATAATCCTGAACTTCGCGTTTGAAAGAAGTCTGAAAACATTATGCCAGTCTCACACTTGTTCGTGGAGTTGAGCCTGCCCAAGGCATTATGCCGAATGCCGGCCTTCATTGGGGGATGTATATATATATAAGCATGCAGTCCTCAATTCCCCAGTTTCTGGGCTGAGAAGTGTTTGATTGACATAATCATTTTAGTAGTGGTTCCAAGTCTGGACCTCCTTTGACCAATCGACTGGAGAAGTAGGTGTCAGTACTGGAAGTACCGTGGAGCGAAAGACGCCCAGACGCGGCCGTCCAAGCCCACAGGTTCCCATTAAAAAGGATCCAACAAAGGAGTACCCTCAGAAGTCCAAATCAGGGATCTCAGGCTTCCATGTGCTTTCCTGCTCAGCCGAGGCTTTGGGACCTTTGGGGCCTGTTGGGATGGGTGCCCCCCTCCCGTCAGAGCCATTTCAGGCTTTTCCAGACCGGTGGTCATCCAGGATTGAAAGAAAAGCTGTCGAAACGTTTTCTTGCAGGGAATCCCAGATGTTCGCTAGGTGCCTTCTAAGGATGTAAGGTGTCAAGAAGGGGTACCTGGACCCTTCACAAGACCCCGGCCCCTTCCGATGTTCCAGTTTCCACAGCTCGCTTCAGCTTTGATCAAGTTCAATAACTGTAGAAACAGATGTCTCAATGCTCGGTTGACAGAATGGTCGCGACCGCTGTTTTGGACACTTGGATGAAGACAGCCCGTTGTTTCAGGGTGGCAAAAACAAGATCAGCCTCCAGCACGAGACCCTTTCCAAGTGTTGGTGGCAAACACAGAATATGAAGTACCCGTGGGGTAGCTTTCTGACACTTTTAGACCGCTGGCTAGGCTAGAACATGCCCCTCGGCAGAGTCCAACTTGTTCTACTTTTCGATTTTTTGGGGAAGTTTTATGCTGAAGCATGAGCAGTGCACGTGGTCTCAGGCCTAGTCTACGTTGAATCTTTGCAGTTGGCCATAGCAGAGTGTCTGAGGTCTGAGGAACTAGTGCTAGGAAACTCAGTGGGAAGTTAGCCAACAAGCCACCAACTGGCTATCTCAGCTGCGACTCGATCAGGTACAGCAGTGGCAGGGACTTGGACTGCCAGAAGGGCTGGTGCGCGTCGGCTAGGTTCAGCTTGAGTGTTGTCACCACTATGAAACGGATGGGCAAACACACCCAAAACCTTTTGGCTTTCGTTCGGGGAAATTCAACAAATTGGTTTAGTGAGAAGGGCTATGTGGGTCGTTCTCGACTGCTGTAGTGCAGAAATAGCCTGTGGCCTGTTTCAAACAGGGGACTCCACATTGATAATTGTAAACGCTGCGCGTTGCCCGCCTCGGCTCAGCAGAGCACGCAGCGTTTGTGGTTCGACCGCAAGCAGCAGAGCTGGTCAAGTGGCGATTCAGGAATGGACAGGTTCTGGCGTCGTTGGCCGTCATGGGCCAAAGTTGCGCAGGAATCCCCGAGGCAAGATGCATAGGACCAGGAGTGAGTCGTGGAGCCAAGAGTCGGTGGCGCTGCAGAGAGTCGTGACAACCAAAGCAGAGCTGCGGTGATCAATGTGGCACTCTTGATCGACGGTGTTGGCGTGCGGTTTTCGCAAGCGTCGGGCGGGCGCATTCGAGCCAGAATGGGAATCCCATGCGCACGGCAGTCTTGATCGACTGTGTTGGCGTGGGGGTTGGGCTGGGGCTGGGGCCTGTGGCTGGGCTGGGTGGGTTGCTGGCTGGGCCTCAAGCTTGTCAGACGCGCCAGGCAGTGGGATAGACCGTATGATTTATATACCACATCAGTCAAAAGATAAGGATTGTCAGTTTTCTTGAGACCACACATGGGAATTAGCGGCTACCTCATCACTGAGAGTATTGCCGAGGGTTGCAGAGAGTATTGCCGAGCGAGCCACAGAGGGGCAACATGTGTAACATGTGGGCAAAGGATTTCAAGGTCTCACACTTGAACGTGCCGACCTTTCCCTTCAACTTTGAGGCTGGCTTGTGCTCCACCTTCGGGCGACCACTGCTATGTCTGCCATGTCTGCAATACCAAAGCGAGCTATCCTATGACAACTTTGTCACGTTAAAGGTATTCCCTTTGTATCACCGGCAGGTGGCGAAAAGCTCAGTTGCCAAAACGGGGCTATGAGCGTCGAGGTACTGCCTTCACGCTCTTTGCGTGCCCTGCGCTTGGCGTCTGCGTTTCGGTTCTCGCTTCGACTTTCCTGTGTCCATGCTGCGTGTGATTGAGCCCGGAAAGGACAGAACTGCGCGTTTATCTTAGCTTTCTAGAGAGCTTCAGTGCACATGGGAGCAAGCAACTTCCATTGTGTCCCATCGAAACATATTTGGTCGGTCCCCTTTTTCAGCTTCGCCTCGCAAATCCAGCATGTCCCAAGTTGCGCCAGCCAGCTCTGCACGATACTCTTTGAGACAGTTTGTGAGAAAGTTGACAGGCCTTCAGGCTACCATGGCGCGGGTGCAGCTTGCTTTGCGCTGGTGGTGTACGTTGAAATTGGCAGGGCCCAAAGATGGCCCAGCCTTGCGCCAAGCGGCCGATATCTTTGGGCTACCCCAAGATTCCTTTCAGCTTCCTCAGGCGAGCCAGGAGATCTTGTTTTTTGCTATACACGTGCGCCAGGACTAGAAGCTCGTTTCCACTGTCAACATTCGGTGCCGTTTTACTTGTTTCTCCAAATGTTTGCATTTTACTGGTGAATGAACATGGTGGAACGAATTGAAACTAGGGTTGGACATGGGCCAACTCCAGGTGAGATCTGCTAGAACTTGTAAGGATGATTTAATATGTGGGATGGTACCCCAGCCTTTCGAATCCTTTGTGCGCTTTTGAGGTGTGGCTGTCACATTTGAAGCTCTAGCATCGCTTGATGGCAAGCCATGGCCACCGTGATCTCATCTCAAGACAGCACTCTTCCAAGCAAAGCGGAGTGGTGTTTTGAATGCTACCGTGGTTTGGCTGGCAGTCCCATCAGAGAGGCCAAGTTTCGCATTCTATGCAGAAGATGTGAGCGAAGTGTGTATGTATGCGAGGCTCACGTGGACGCCACGAAATGCCCTGGTTGCGGTCCATCAGCCCATCTATCAACAATTCCCGCCAGCAATGTATCGCCTTCCACTGCGGCATCCGATGATGTGGCCTTCGGCTTGCTCAAGGATGCAAGGATTGAGGGGCTTGCGGCTTGGCTGGCAGCGCTCTCCCTAGAGAAGTACTTGCCAGCAGCCATCTTATGGTGCCATGAACAGGGAGCATCGTCACTGCAAGAGGTCACTAAGAACTGGGAGCAGTTGGCAGATGCGTTATTTTTGAAGCCCCTGGAAAAAGCACGCATGTCGCAAGATCCCAAATGCCAGCTTCCTCCATCAAGTATTCCAAAGGCACGGCAGAGTGACGGACCCTGTGGTCAATGGGGCTATTTCGATGGTTTGACAGACTGCGATGATAATATGTCGCCCAACTATGATGACGATGTGCGAGACTCTGATGTTGGATTGCCAGACTTCGATGATGGGTCGCCCGACTACTACCAGGAGACTTATGATGACTATGATTCCGGCGGTGATGGCATGACATGGAATACCTACGATGATTACTTTAATCGTTCTTTGCCGCAGCCATGAACTTACTCAGGACTGTGGCTTTGCACAGTACGAAGCTGGCAGCCGCGCGGTGTGCCAGGTAAATCAATGTTCGTACATTAAACAATGTTAGTTTTCGTTGTTCTGACCGAGATGCTTTGGGTTGCAACCCACGGCCATCTTCAGAGCGCCGCTTGAGGCCGCAGCTGCCGCGCTTCCACAGCTGCCGTGGGGAGCACCCCAGTGAGTGGTTGCCTGAGAAACTCGGAGAGGACCCTTTTGTGCCTAAACAGGGGGGGCGTTGAGACAGATCCAGGGATGGTTTGTCGTTCTTGGCAAGGGTCCTGTATATAGGAGCCTTCTTTGCCAAGTGGACCTGAAGCATGCTGCAGCGGGGGAGGGTTGCCCGGTCATCTCCATTCACGCGAATGCAAGAGGGACGCGTCTACGTGAGATGCACAGCGAGGTATCCATAGAATCCCTATGTTTGGCTGCCTTTGTTCTTTACAAGAGCCTACGTCAAAAACTCCCTACGCGCGAGTCCAAGAGTATGTTTTTGTTTCGTGATTGCCCGGCGGCATGGATCGCAAGGTGCCTGCAGGGCCACTTGTGCAACCTGGCTGCGTCCCGTCTTGGCCCGAGCTGCGTGTGTAAGTCGCGCAGGTCTAAGCAGTTGTTAGAGTCAAAATTTACTAGCACAGATCATTTGGATTGGGAATCAACTGGCTCAGTTTTGAGACAGCAGCGTTAATCTTGTTGGACTCTTTTCCCACTAAATGGGTGTGCGTTTGTCGAGGGTACCCTTTTGTTTGGGCTGGTTCACAACCACCACCCATTTTGTAGGGTTCCCCCTATTTTGACGCATACCTAAATGCTGATTGTCTTTAGATCATTTGATCTCTGCAGGGAGCTCCCGGTGCGCAGCAACCGCCATCTGCAATGCAGGTCCCCAGTGCACTGCCGAGTTCTCCCTGGCCGTTGGTGCTGGGAGCCAAGACGAGTAGTACGGCTACCGCAGAGTCATGTAAAGTTGGGTTAAAGGATCAAGTGGTTTGGGGGGGTGGTGGGGGGGCTGGAAACTTGTCATAAATTTGCCAGTGTTGTTCAATCCAGTTTGTTGATGGTTGATCCACATGTTTTGGGCCATCCCCCTAATCTTGTTGCCCACCATGGGCCTGAAATATCCCAGCACCGAGAGTCATCAACAACTTACATATTTGCGTTACAGAACTACTGACTGGCTTGGGATCTTGTCCAAGGCCAGAATCCGGGGGGCTCGATTTCCGTGACCAATCATTTTCACAGATATTTGCATGCCCATTGTGGGCAAATTAGAAACGACTGCACAAGTGGGGTTGCGACGTCGCCCAAGATGAAGGCTCCTTTCATAGGAGTCCCTGATTTTCAGCTTCTGCCAAGGTGGGAAGGAAGGTTGCTGAAGTGTTGTACTTCGCCCATGTTCATGGCTGGAGTCCTCTTGATTCCCGCTCCAGCCCTGCAGAGAAATTGGTTGTACTCCCGGTACAGCGGGAACGAAAGATCCATTTCTTTGGCAGCCGACCAACACCTGACAGTTTGCAAATAAGCCCTTGCAATGTTAGACTTGGCCTCAACGCATTCTGCCTGCAACGGCATGTGCCTTTTGCATGCTGCACTCAATCTCAGGGACTGATGGCTTTGAAGCTCCGGGCAGAATATTCAAGCCAGCGGCCATCTGTGAAGCGTTTGTGCGACAACCAACCCGCACTGGAGACTGATACAAAACAGAAGTGAATAAACGCTTCTAACATACTTCATGACATCACAATGTGAAGGCAACGATGTGTTGGTTTCTGTGCTTCTTCACATTTTGGGATGTACACATCCGGGTTTCGAACATGTGTCGTCAATGTATTTGTTTGTGGCATGCAGTGAAACGTTACATGTCAGTGCGTCAACATGGGACCCTCGCACAGGTTTCCTTTTCGTTTTCCTTTCACACGCTCTCATCTCTAGCCTCGGGCTTCTACGATGGTCAGCCAAACTGTGGTGAGTTCTCGGATGAACACAGTCTATGTTTTACGTCTAATGTCATTTGTTCATGTGGGTAGAAGTCCTACAACACTGGACAGTTAATGCAATCTGTTGTTCAAAGGGCTTTCCTCAGTATCTTTCCTTTTCCAAAGACCCATGGTTTGAAGTGGATCAGCCAAAGGACTGGTTTGTCAGGGAGGAAGAAGGTATGTCTTGTGGCACGCCCTTTGCCTGCTGCTTGCCGATGTTGAGGCTGCCAGCAGCGATCGGCGCCTTTGCCAGTCATCCAACTTGGACTCCAGCAGCATTCTCAGGGCGTGTCCCTGTGTGGAGGTAGCCCTTTGGGCTGTCTAGAACAGAAACCCGTGGGGGGGGGGTTCCTACGTTCAGACAAACCCATTTAAGTTCTTTGACTTGTTAGGCTAGTTTTGGAGTAGTTCATTGTCAGCTTGCCATGGGCGCCTGGACCACTGGGCAAACAACAAGCTGGGCCGGTCAAAGGAGGCGGGCCAAAGTGCTGTTGCCGGGCATGTTTGAGAAAGCAAGTATCAGTCCCTGATCCCGTTCTTTATACTTTCTGCGCAGATGGTAAAGACCAAGGTAAAATAAAAATGGCTTTGCCTGGGATACTAATCAGCACCGTCTTGCCGTGGTTTCATGGTGACTGACGATGTTGCCTGGCTGAAGTGTTTGTGATATCTGCCTAGCTGGGTCAATATTGATGTTTGGAAGTCAGAGCCTGTACACTCTTTTCCGCAGTGATCACACCCACTTACAACTTACAGCTGTGAAAACAAACACCCCCTCTCTTTTGTACGCGCCGGGCTTAATGGTTTGCCAACCTGAAACACACCGAGTCTATTGCAAGCAAACGCACAGCTACCTATTCCCGTTGCTTTTCTGTGACAAAGAAACACATGGACTTTTTACCGAGAATCACAGCGGTGGCTCCACGCTACCCCACACCCGCAGAGCTGCCTTTATGTGGAATATGGTTGCACGAGTCAGCCAACTCGATCATGTCAATCGATTAGATGCAAAGACCTCGACAAATGAATTGCACTCTGACTGAGCATGGGTGGCGCCATTCAAGCCAAGACGACTCTTGCTCATGGCAAGCTCGTGGTCAAACAACTCGCCTCAACCACTTTGAGGCACTCGGGTTTGCTCCCCAAGGCACTTGGGAATGCGCTGCTGTGCCCCTCTACGACAGCAGTGGCCGGTGGCCCAGCATCAAAGGTGATGGCATTGGAAGGCGGTACAGGCGATGCATAGATTGTCCAGAACTGAGAGCGCGTGCTGATCCAACGAACTTTTGTCTATGGTCCAAAGTTGCATTTATGCAAGTCACAGTGGGTATCGGGTATTCAGCACTGCACGTGTGTTCCCACAATCCAATCAGGTTGCGCGGTACATACATATCTTGAAAGTTTTGATGGGCTTTGTCCAGCAGGGCGGGAATGGTGGGATATGTCCCACTGTGATACCAGTACCAGGTAGCCTCGCCCTAGTTAGGAGTTGCTCATTGGAAAGGCCATGATTCCCAGCACAGAAGTGCTTGCAAGCAATTCCCACAACTTCCAAACAACCTTTTTCAGAGGTTTGATTCCGAAGTGGAAAGCCAATTCCGAACCGGGATCAATTCCAAAGGCGGCGAATGCAGATCAGCAGCGGACTGCGTGACGACCTGAGATCTGCGGTTTCTGGCCCGATCGCGCAGCATCGAATGGCCCGATTGCGGTGGCATGCTTCTTGTGCGACATTTTCGCTGTATCACGCATGATTGTTGACACGAGCTACAACCAAGTCATGGTTGATGAAGGTCCCAGCCACAATTCGCTACGGATCGGGTATTGTTGAGGTTTTGGTTGACTCATGCAATACCTGGTGCTGAGTATGACTGTCACGGCGTGGTCACGAACCTGTCTGATCCATGGGCCTCAGAAATCATGTGAGAGTCGTTCTAAAACCTTTTTTCAGAATGAGGTTCGTTCTTTTTTGGGCGGTTTGTGTAGGGTTCGAGTCGCGCAAGCTCCGCAGATGCGCGGCGGAAGCTTATGTCTAAAAACTAGCACGTGTTTAGATCTCATGCTTTTATGACTATACATGTAAGCGCGGAAGCTCTGCGGAAGCTCCGTGGAAGCTTTGTATGTGGAAGTCACTCTAAAGGTCCTTGTACCACAAAGCTGCGATTTTCGCTCTGGAGCTGTGGAAGTGTGCTTCACGTACTACACTTGCACTACAAAGCTGCGATTTTTCGAGCTAGAGCTGCGGAAGTGTACTTTGCGTACTGCACTTGTACTATAAAGCTGCGCGTTTCAAGCCGATTTTCAAGCTGGAGCTGTGGAAGTGTACTTCGCGCACAAGACTTGTACTACAAAGTTGCGATTTTGGAGCTGGAGCTGCGGAAATATACTTCGCGCACTAGACTTGTATTACAAAGTTGTGATTTTGGATCTGGAGCTGCGGAAGTGTACTTCGCGCACTACTGTTGTACTACAAAGTTGCGATTTTCAAGCTGGAGCTGCGGAAGTTTGCTTCGCGCACTACTCTTGTACGGATTTCGAGCTGGAGCTGCGGGCTCGCACTTTGTGTACGGCACTTGTACTACACTTGAACAAGCCACTTGGGCTGAGAAAACGTGTTTTGGTGACAAGGCCAATGTGGTTTGATAACGCGTCTTGTCGCGGAAGCGCGGCGAAAGCCAAAAAGCGAAACTGGCCGGGAACAGACATGTAGCACAACCCTCGTGCGTGCTCCTTGTGCAGGTTCGTGGAGATCGCACGGAAGGGGAATGCCTTTGCAAACGTCCCCGGCTCAGTGTGAAGGATTGTCAAAGGATTGTCAGGAGTGGCTGGGTTGGTTCCGACGTGGCTGAATGGGTGTGTTTTTGCTCAGTGCCTGCGTTGTTGCTTGTGTTTGAAGAAACCAAGGCCAAGCTACCCATGATGAATTCCGTTGTGGAAGCAGCGTGGGGTGAGATGCCAAGTAGAGCGCTTGCCATGCACTGGAGCCATTATGCCAATCAACTAAGAGGGTGTGTGTGTTTCGCTGAAATCATCTACTGGCAAGTGGAATGTCCTTTGGACGCTTCCTAAGCCCTGCCCTACATGAAAACGAGACCTCCACGACGTATGCCATGGGAGAGGCCCAAGCAGTTGCTGGAGAATTCATGCGTTGGCAAGGCAGTAGTTTGAACGATTGGCCGTTGCCAGCAATGACAATACCAGTAACAATTGTTGCGTGGCATCAACTTTTGTAGATATTGGCCTCAGCTGTGGACTGGCTCTTACTTACGTACCATGGAGTTGTTTGAAAAGGGCGTTACCACTGAGTAGTTTCTGTGGCAGGGTAGTTGTCAAATGCTGTGGAGCCATGCGTAAAACAACAGTACGGCACAAGCAGCTCAGGACGGCGCAAGAGCCATGCAAGACACCCCCGCTGGATGGTAGGGGATGGCACATCCAATTGCGGTTGTGTGGAACCGACTTGCTTCTTTACTCACTTCCTGAGTTCCTGGACTTGATACGTTTTGGGAAGACCATTTTAGTGGCACACAACAAGTGTGAGCTTGTTTTTGGCAATCCACTCAGGAATTGAGGGCAAGTCTAGAAGAGGAAAACACGTTTAACAAAGCTGCACACCGCCATTGTTGCCCTTGCTTCCTCCTTGGGGGCCTATCTTAGCCCTTATCTGAGGCTGGTGGGATGGCTCTGGCATGCCGGGGTATTGCGAGCTGCCAGGACCCTAAGACAGAAGCTCTCCGAGCAGGGCTTTCTTCCTAAAAGCTTCAGCGGTTGGCCATTTGAGCTGCCACACAGGTTGTGGCCGAGGTTCAAGTTAAGGCAACACAAAATCGCGCTTCTATCCCTACCGCTTCGAAAGTGCTTTGCCGGATGCCTTAGTGAGAACCTCTTTGAGAAGGTTCCGCCTCCTGTCCTGGGATCTCGATTCTCTTTCCTCGCGAGGCTTATGTATCTCTGACATCCTGACTGCAGATGCTCAGTTTTCAGGCACAGGTAGTCCCAAGACCTTTCCGAGGTTGGTACCAGAGCTGCTGCGCCCCGCGTTTCTGGAGTTCCGGAACTACGCGCTGCAAGGCATTGGAGGGGCCAACATAAACTGCCGAAGGTTTTGAGCCAACACATCCAGCAAGAGTCAGAAGGGTATGCCAACATGCCCATCAATCCAATCTATGCATCATATACGATCAAATGCCCTGCATTCATATTTGTCTTGCACTCAGGCCACCTCGTTCCGTGGGCATTGTTTGTTTTCGTTAGGGGGACTAGTTGGCAATCAAGCTACGGTTTTACTCAAGCTGCCATTGCTCAATGGCTTAGACAACATCTAGGTCGCCCAGTAGTGCCCTTTTACCCTTTTTTTGGGGAGGGTTCTCTTACTAAAATAGACTACAGAAAAAAAGGGTACCCTTATTCTAACCTCTCTACTGGAGGACCTCGATATCCTTTGGCTTGCATGGCGGTCTGCCAGCGCCAACCTGTTTCGATATGTCGCCCTTTCACACCATACGTGGGATGTGTAGTGTTTGACTGGGCACTGGAATGTTTTGAATATCCAGGGGCACCATGCAGTGAGCCCGCTTTCGTCGTGTTGTAAGCTGCAGCTGCGCTTGGCTTGCCTGTGATAGTAGTGCAACAGCTGTTGGTCAAGGATCCGTGAGTCATCTATGCACGGAAGGCAGGAATAAATGTGGCAAACCAGTCAGTTGCATGAACATTCACGCAGTTGCGCTGCGAGGCTGCCATCATGACTGGCCAGAGGAGACCGCGCATTCAAAGCCTGTGCGGAAAGATGGGCGGGTGGGCGGAACGTACATCATGTCTATACAGGTAGGTGCCCGGTCTCCAGTTCAGTGCCCTCCTCCCTGTTGGACGCCCTTTGAGCAGGCAGCACGCAAAGGCAGAGGTACAAATTAAAAGGGCCAACCCGCATTCCACGGGGGGCAGGGGGAGGGGGGGGGGATGGTCCCTTCAACGTTGGCAATGCGGGAGATGGGGCGGGCTTGGCAAACCTGGACCCCATATGCACACATAGGCATGGATGGCCGATGCGATTCGGCTCGATTCGATTTTTCGATTCGACCAGGGCCGAAGCGATTCGACCGATCCGATTCGACCAGCTTGCAAGGCTCCGGGGGCACAACTGATGGAAGTCTCCAGAAACAGCGTGCTCCCAGATGCGTTTTCCCGGCCCCGAAAAATGCATCTAGACGAGCGGTTGATTTTTAAGGCTCCTAGAAGGAGCATGCTCCCAGATGCGTTTTCCCGGCTCCGAAAAATGCATCTAGACGAGCGGTGGATTCTCAAGGCAGCTCCTAGAAGGAGCATGCTCCCAGATGCGTTTTCCCGGCCCCGAAAAATGCATCTAGACGAGCGGTGGATTCTCAAGGCAGCTCCTAGAAGGAGCATGGTTCCAGATGCGTTTTCCCGGCCCCGAAAAATGCATCTAGACGAGCGGTGGATTGTCAAGGCAGCTCCTAGAAGGAGCATGCTCCCAGATGCGTTTTCCCGGCCCCGAAAAATGCATCTAGACGAGCGGTGGATTCTCAAGGCAGCTCCTAGAAGGAGCATGGTTCCAGATGCGTTTTCCCGGCCCCAAAAAATGCATTTGGACAAGCGGTGGGTTCTCGAGGCAGCTCCTAGAAGCAGCATGCTCCCAGATGCGTTTTCCCGGCTCGGAAAAATGCATCTAGACGAGCAGTGGATTCGATTCTCAAGGCAGCTCCTAGAAGGAGCATGGTTCCAGATGCGTTTTCCCGGCTCCGAAAAATGCATCTAGACGAGCGGTGGATTCTCAAGGCAGCTCCTAGAAGGAGCATGCTCCCAGATGCGTTTTCCCGGCTCGGAAAAATGCATCTAGACGAGCGGTGGATTCTCAAGGCAGCTCCTAGAAGGAGCATGCTCCCAGATGCGTTTTCCCGGCCCCGAAAAATGCATCTAGACGAGCGGTGGATTCTCAAGGCAGCTCCTAGAAGGAGCATGCTCCCAGATGCGTTTTCCCGGCTCCGAAAAATGCATTTGGACAATCCGTGGGTTCTCGAGGCAGCTCCTAGAAGGAGCATGCTCCCAGATGCGTTTTCCCGGCTCGGAAAAATGCATCTAGACGAGCAGTGGATTCTCAAGGCAGCTCCTGGAAGGAGCATGGTTCCAGATGCGTTTTCCCGGCACCGAAAAATGCATCTAGACGAGCAGTGGATTCTCAAGGCAGCTCCTAGAAGGAGCACGCTCCCAGATGCGTTTTCCCGGCCCCGAAAAATGCGTCTGGACGAGCGGTGGATTCTCAAGGCAGCTCCTAGAAGGAGCATGCTCCCAGATGCGTTTTCCCGGCCCCGAAAAATACATCTAGACGAGCGGTGGGTTCTCAAGGCAGCTCCTAGACGGAGCACGCTCCCAGATGCGTTTTCCCGGCCCCGAAAAATGCATCTAGACGAGCTGTGGATTCTCAAGGCAGCTCCTAGAAGGAGCATGCTCCCAGATGCGTTTCCCCGGCTCCGAAAAATGCATTTGGACAAGCGGTGGATTTTCAAGGCAGCTCGTAGAAGGAGCATGCTCCCAGATGCGTTTTCCCGGCTCCGAAAAATGCATCTAGACGAGCGGTGGATTCTCAAGGCAGCTCCTAGAAGGAGCATGCTCCCAGATGCGTTTTCCCGGCCCCGAAAAATGCATCTAGACGAGCGGTGGATTCTCAAGGCAGCTCCTAGAAGGAGCATGCTCCCAGATGCGTTTTCCCGGCCCCGAAAAATGCATCTAGACGAGCGGTGGATTGTCAAGGCAGCTCCTAGAAGGAGCATGCTCCCCGATGCGTTTTCCCGGCTCGGAAAAATGCATCTAGACGAGCAGTGGATTCGATTCTCAAGGCAGCTCCTAGAAGGAGCATGCTTCCAGATGCGTTTTCCCGGCTCCGAAAAATGCATCTAGACGAGCGGTGGATTCTCAAGGCAGCTCCTAGAAGGAGCATGCTCCCAGATGCGTTTTCCCGGCTCGGAAAAATGCATCTAGACGAGCGGTGGATTCTCAAGGCAGCTCCTAGAAGGAGCATGCTCCCAGATGCGTTTTCCCGGCCCCGAAAAATGCATCTAGACGAGCGGTGGATTTTCAAGGCAGCTCCTAGAAGGAGCATGCTCCCAGATGCGTTTTCCCGGCTCCGAAAAATGCATTTGGACAATCCGTGGGTTCTCGAGGCAGCTCCTAGAAGGAGCATGCTCCCAGATGCGTTTTCCCGGCTCGGAAAAATGCATCTAGACGAGCGGTGGATTCTCAAGGCAGCTCCTGGAAGGAGCATGGTTCCCAGATGCGTTTTCCCGGCTCCGAAAAATGCATTCTAGACGAGCGGTGGATTCTCAAGGCAGCTCCTAGAAGGAGCATGCTCCCAGATGCGTTTTCCCGGCTCCGAAAAATGCATTTGGACAAGCGGTGGGTTCTCGAGGCAGCTCCTAGAAGCAGCATGCTCCCAGATGCGTTTTCCCGGCTCGGAAAAATGCATCTAGACGAGCGGTGGATTGTCAAGGCACTCCTAGAAGGAGCATGCTCCCAGATGCGTTTTCCCGGCCCCGAAAAATGCATCTAGACGAGCGGTGGGTTCTCAAGGCAGCTCCTAGAAGGAGCATGCTCCCAGATGCGTTTTCCCGGCCCCGAAAAATGCATCTGGACAAGCGGTGGATTTTCAAGGCAGCTCCTAGAAGGAGCATGCTCCCAGATGCGTTTTCCCGGCCCCGAAAAATGCATTTGGACAAGCGGTGGGTTCTCGAGGCAGCTCCTAGAAGCAGCATGCTCCCAGATGCGTTTTCCCGGCTCGGAAAAATGCATCTAGACGAGCGGCGGGTTCTCAAGGCAGCTCCTAGAAGGAGCATGCTCCCAGATGCGTTTTCCCGGCCCCGAAAAATGCATCTAGACGAGCGGTGGATTTTCAAGGCAGCTCCTAGAAGGAGCATGCTCCCAGATGCGTTTTCCCGGCTCCGAAAAATGCATTTGGACAAGCGGTGGGTTCTCGAGGCAGCTCCTAGAAGCAGCATGCTCCCAGATGCGTTTTCCCGGCTCGGAAAAATGCATCTAGACGAGCGGTGGATTCTCAAGGCAGCTCCTAGAAGGAGCATGCTCCCAGATGCGTTTTCCCGGCCCCGAAAAATGCATCTAGACGAGTGGTGGATTCTCAAGGCAGCTCCTAGAAGGAGCACGCTCCCACATGCGTTTTCCCGGCCCCGAAAAATGCATCTGGACAAGCATGGGATTTTCAAGGCAGCTCCTAGAAGGAGCACGCTCCCAGATGCGTTTTCCCGGCCCCGAAAAATGCATCTACACGTCATGCTCCTTCCGTTCCTATGCTCGTTTCCGGAGTTGGCCCCGGACCATGGTTTTTAGCAAGAAAGAAAGCTAGATGCTTTTTCGGCCCGGCAAAACGCATTTAGACCTCGTGCTGTTTTCGTGCTGGCAGTCGTGTAGTAGTAGTAATAGTAGTAGTAGTAGTAGTAGTAGTAGTAGTAGTAGTAGTAGCAGTAGTAGTAGCAGTGGTAGTAGTACTAGTGGTGGTGGTGGTGGTGGTGGTAGTGGTAGTGGTAGTGGTAACACGCGCGGAAACACGACATATGCATTTTTTTGGCCTTGCAAAACGCATCTACACGTCGTGCTCCTTCCGTTCCTACGCTCGTTTCCGGAGTTGGCCCTGGACCATGGTTTTCGGCAAGAGTGAAAGCTAGATGCGTTTTTTCGGCCCGGCAAAACGCATCTAGACCTCGTGGCTGGCAGTCGTGTAGCGGTAGTAGTAGTAGTAGTAGTAGTAGTAGCAGCAGCAACAGTAGTAGTAGTCCAGTAGTAGTAGTAGTAGTAGTAGTAGTAGTAGTAGTAGTAGTAGTAGTAGAAGTAGTAGCAGAAGTTAGAAGTAGAAGAAGTAGTAGTAGTAGTAGTAGTAGTAGTAGTAGTAGTAGTAGTAGTAGTAGTACTAGTAGTAGTAGTAGTAGTAGTAGTAGTAGTGGTAGTAGTAGTAGTAGTCGTCGTAGTGGTAGTGGTAGTGGTAGTGGTAACTCGCCCGGAAAATTTTTGGGCCTGGCAAAACGCATCTACACATCACGCTCCTTCCGTTCCTACGCTTGTTTCCGGAGTTGGCCCCGGACCATGGTTTTGGCAAGAATGACGGCTAGATGCGTTTTTTCGGCCAGGCGAAACGCATTTAGACCCCGTGCTGTTTTCGCGCTGGCAGTCGTATAGCGGTAGTAGTGGTAGTAGTGGTAGCAGTGGTCGTAGGGGTAATGGTGGCTGTAGTAGTATTAGGACTGATAGCAGTAGTTGTCGTAGCATTTGTGGTAGTAGTGGTCGTAGCAGTGGTAGTAGTAGTGGTAGTAGTAGTAGTAGTGATAGTACAATAAGTAGTAGTAGTAAGTAGTAGTAGTAGTAGTAGTAGTAGTAGTAGTAGTAGTAGTAGTAGTAGTAGTAGTAGTAGTAGTAGCAGCAGTAGTAGTAATCAAAGGAAGTTTAACAAGAAACTTCCGTAGTACTGGAACTAAATGAGCTAGCTGCTTTGACATATAGCTATGACAGGTAGCTAGCATGACAAATAGATAGCTTTGACATATAGCTAGCTTGACAGATAGATAGCTTTGACATATAGCTAGCTTGACAGATAGATAGCTTTGACAATAGTAGTTTGACGATAGATAGCTTTGACATATAGCTAGCTTGACAGATAGATAGCTTTGACATATAGCTAGCTTGACAGATAGATAGCTTTCCAATAGGCTTGCATGACAGATAGATAGCTTTGACATATA